TTAACAAAGGACTCTATTTCCTTCTCTTCCACCGTTTTCACTTCAAAGCCTGGTTTGCAGATTAGCAGGGAGATTTGGAAGGCTGTGATGATCAGCAGCTTTCAGCGAGCAGTGTGGTCTGTGCAGTGAAATCCTTCCTCTTACTGCATGAAGGCTTCGCTAAAGCTCCCAGCCACGACTGGGGTTGTTGGGCTGTTGTCAGAGCCCTGTTTGGAGTCCTGTACCTAAAATACATTGAGGCTGTTTCATCCAGCTACAAAGTCTTTTACTTTCGAAGCACAGGCTTTCTTATGTATGGTGGTAGGAGAATTCTTAGCAATATGGAGGGAATATGTCAAAATGTGTAATCCAAAACACTGCCTGAAACGGAATTCTCTATGAAGTGGTTCTAAGTTCTACTCAGAGCTGTAGTGTTGGCTGTTTTCCAGTTCTGGAGCCTGAATGGAGTGTTAATGTTAACCTAAACTGTAATCTTAACCTGCCCTTCCACAGGCTTTGCAAAGGGAGGCAAGGGGTGCCTGTACCACTGTTGTCTCCAGTGTTCAGCATCCGAGTATGTGGCAGCTTTCGGGAGACAGGGATTTAAGGCACAAGATCTAAACCACGATCATTCATCCATTCTATGGTTAAAATTGCTGCTCCAGTCTTCTCTATGAAGTGGAGGTTTTGTTCATTTGTTCTGCTTTGTCTTTCATACGCTGCTGAGTCGCCTGAAAGATAAGGTTGCATTAGAGCTGTGCACACAATTTACTGCTTGGCATCTTCCAGTCCTTCTGCGTCATTGCAGCCCGTGTGTCGGGCAGGGGTCCTGAGGCGTCAGGGTGATGTGCTGAGGTTTGAACCTGCTGCTTTCCACCTTCCCAGCCATGTCTAGAGCGGCTTTCCTTTGATTTTGACATGCTTCCTGCTTGTCTTGAGCTCATCCGACCTTACCGAGGAGGAGGACGGCTCCTGGCAGCAGCCATGGGGGGGACCACTGTGTCCAGGCAGAAGCAGGGCCGGTTTGGGAGCAGTCGGAGCGGGTTTGTGTGGGTGAGAGGATCGCTGTTTAATCTGGGCGGGAGCTGGGGGTTGGTGGTTCTGTTTTGTTGTCATCCCACTCCTTTCCCAAGCTTGTCATCTTTTTATACAGCATGGCATTTGGGAGAGGGGTGGGGACCTCTTGAGAGAGCTGCAGCGCACAGGCACGGAGATGGAGCTAGATACTGAAGCACAGCTCAGGCTGCTTGGGTCTTCTCCTGGTGCTCTGTGCGGTGCAGGCTGATTCACCCTGTCGCTATCCAGTTAGAGCTGTTAAAGCTTATCAGTGGGAGGAGCTGGAGCCCTCTTTGGGAGGATTCTGATCCTGGGATCTTCGGGAGGGGATCCTGCTTGGAACAGGAATGTTGCTTAGAGTGTGAGATGACAGGGCAAGGTAGTCTCCTGGGTCTGAGTTCATCCCATTCGCTCTGTGCATGACCTGCTGAAGAATGAAGGAGTTGGTACAGAAGTGTCATCGTTTCCACACTTCCAACTTCAGTTTATAGGGTGCTTAAGCCCAAAGTAATCATTTGGCAAATTCTTTGTCCCAGGCTGACTGTTGGATGCTGTAGCAGAGCAAGGTATTGTTCCAGTCAGTGCGTATCCACCTCCTCTGGGCATGATGGGTTTCTGATAGCACAGGTTCTTGCCAGGAGCTTTGCAGAAACCCATCTCTTGTTGTAGTTTGAGAAGCTGCCACTGTTCAGTAGAGGCCCATAATTGCACCACAGTTCTTGTAATCTGCTTAAGGGTAATAAATAAAGGATAACCTACTATTAGTTTCGTTTACTGGATCCTTCCCAAGATTGTAGTTTAGGAGTGTTTTGGATCTGCACCTAGTCATTGGTCTTGTTTAAACTATTAGGCTTTTCCAAGCAGGAACAGTCAATTAATGAAGATCATCCAGGGTTTTTATGACCAGGTATGGTGGTAGCTTCAAATGTAGTACGTCTCTTAACTTTCTTATGGTAGGTACTATTGGCAATGACACTTCCATGGAAGTATTAAAGGCATCATTACTTAAATACCAGCATTTTATTCATGGGCAGGAACTGGATGATAAGAATTATGCCTATCAATGCTCTGTATGCTTCGAAGTTCAGTAAGGAAAAAGAAAATGAGCCATTATAAATGCTGAGAATGACAAACGTCACCAAAATACAGGAGGCAGGCGTTCCTTCATCCCCTTTGGGTTCATTCATTAGCCAAGCCTGCTGACTGCTCCATTGGAATGCTGAGAAGGTGATTGCAGAGGGGAGAAAAGTAAAACTATTCACCTGTCTAGCATTATACAGCTCTGTGTCCCTCTGCCCCAGGTGCCTTGATGGATCTGGTGATGGGAGTGAAGAAATGGTTTGTTTGAAATGGATGGAAAACTTTGCTGTTGCTACTGGGGATGTTTTATTATGTAGTTGTAGCCACGTGAGCTTAAAGTACAATAGAAAGGGTTCTGCCATCCGGGGCAAGGCTCAGTGTGAGAATAAGAATACCTGGTGTTTAATCCCAGTTCTTCTGTGGGCATCTTGACCTTGATTTCAGTGTGTTTGTTCACCTTCAGGCACTTGAAGCCTTGGCAGCAGGAGCAGGGTGTTCAGGAGCTTGTTCCTCATCTTGAATGATCCCAGTGGGTGGGATCCTATTTGAACAGGAAAGGAGGGGGAAGGCTTTTTGGTGTTTCAAGTGGCTGTTAACCTGACAACGTGGGGAAATGAAGGATGCAAAAGCAGCGAATTCCAAATGAAAGTGGTTGTTGTGACTGCAGACATGAAAAGGTCCCGTGTGATGCGGTGACCCGGGGGTTAGAGCTCACACACAGCTCCGGCTCGCCTGTGCTCTGGCCTCGGAGTAAGCCCGACTTAAAAACCTTCTGCTTGTGTAAGCAATGGGAGAACAAGCAGACACTTCATCCTCCAGAAAGCCCAGTAAGCCTCAGGAAATTCCTGCATTCTTGATTGGATTTTGTGGCACAGGACTGCGTGCTGTGTGTTTGAAAGATGAGCAAGGTTGCCCTCTCCAGCCCCGTGCCACAGGCTCGATAAGCTGGGGCTGAATAGCTCATTGTTCCCCTGCGGGCAGCCCCATCAGCTGCCCCTCCTCCCTGCCACAAACACTGAGGGTAGGTAGAATGAAAGCGTGCTGATACTGCGGTTCTTACTGAAGGAAAAGGTTACTACTTCTTGCTGCTGTTCGGCAGGCGAGCTGCATGTGAAGTATCCACCTTGAGGGCTTGAGCTTCGCTGTAGTTTTACCATTAAGATACGTGTGCTGTGCTGATCTTCTTTTCGGGAAGTGGTACTTTGTGTTTCCTCCAGCTGATGGGTGCTGAGGCGCTGGCACAGGGTGCCCAGAGAAGCTGTGGCTGCCCCATCCCTGGCAGTGCTCAAGGCCAGGTTGGACACAGGGGCTTGGAGCAAGCTGCTCCAGTGGAAGGGGCCCCTGCCCATGGCAGGGGTTGGAGCTGGAGGAGCTTTAAGGTCCCTTCCAACCCAAACCAGGCTGGGATTCCTGAATGCCAGACCTGCAGATGGGTGTTAGGACTGGGCAGGCTGGCTCATTGCAGGGAGGAAACACTCCCTGACTGTGCCGTTTGGTGCTGTTCCCGCTCACTGCCTCACTTTCTATGCTTCGTGAAAGCCTTAATGACAAAGGCACAGGTAGAATGGGGTTGTCTTGTTTGCATTGACTAAACAGGGCACGCATGTAAGGTTCTGCAGCTCTGTTAGTAGCTGTGTAACTGGGAACTGAGCTGGATGGCGATGATGTGCACAGCAGGGATTAGCAAATTGCGTTTGGGAAGTGATACTCGCCCCTCTTCGGTTGTGGTGGGGAAGCTGTGGGTGCCTGTGGTTGGGATGCAGAGGTACAAAGCTGTGCATGCCCAAGACCTGCATGTTCCTTACTTTATTGCTGATTCTGAATTCATCTTGGGGTAACACACCTCTGAGAACCTTTGGCAAGAGCAGCAATCAGAGTCAAGCAACAGGGGGCATCTCTGTGGCTGGAGTGCTCAAAGATGGAAATACACATTTTACTGATTTCATGTTCAGTTTATTGCCTGTATAAAAGCCAAATAACCTCCTGTAGCTGCACCACTGGATATTTCTGCATTCTCAGGATAGACTGACATGCTCCTGCTATGTTTTCTTGTCCTGTTTGACCATGGGCCGAGTCATTTCCCTCTCCTGTCCCTGAGATTCAGACTTGGTGCAATGAGAGCACCCTGGCTTCAAGGTCTAATGGGAGAAGTTTTCCTATTTGTAAACTGCTTGAAAACTGTTTGTAAAGTATTGTGTGCATATAAATAGATAACTTCAGTAATAATTCTGCATAGTAGAACATTACCACCTATGTCTGTGTCATTTATGGGTCCTTTAGACATGAGTATTTTATAGTCTCCCTGGAGATAAGTCTGCAATCACGTTGGCTCTTTCTCTCTTTCAGTGGTTTTTGGTTTCTGTGGAGAGCTGCACAGCTGGCGGCTCAGGAACTAACTGAATAATCCCAAACTGGTGCCTTGGGGGAGGCCCCAGTGTGTGCAATGTCTTGTCTCTGCATCAGGAGTAGCCTGCAAAGGAATTGGATAGCAATTCCCCCAGGTGGCTCCCTGAGCTGATGTGGGGTATTGCAGCATTCAGTCCTTTTTCCAGGCTGAGATTCAGTACATTTTTAGGCAGTGACCGCTTCTCCTTGATGCCAGAAATGCACTTGACACTTGTAACTGATGCACTCCCCAGCAGCAAAGCTCTGCTCCAAGGGCTGTGCATGGATTGCAGGATATTGGATGGTTTTGCTGTGGCTGGTGCATCCGAGATGCGATTGCAATCACTTTCTGCCTGCAGATACACTTCATCCTAATGGAGCTTTTTTGCTGCTGTATACGAATGAGGGAATGTGGTTTTAACTCTATTTTACTGGAGAATTTTGATGGTGTTTTCTCTAATGGGATTCTGTTTAATCTCTAGTGCTTTTATTTGTTACAGAGATCCGTGCCCAGTTGGTAGAGCAGCTGAAATGCCTTGACCAACAGTGTGAGCTTCGGGTCCAGTTACTGCAGGACTTGCAGGATTTCTTCCGCAAGAAGGCAGAGATTGAGATGGATTACTCAAGGAATTTGGAGAAGTTGGCTGAGAGATTCCTGGCTAAAACTAGGAGCACCAAAGACCAGCAATTCAAGTAGAGTATCTGCCTTTTGTTTTTGCTCTTTTTTCCCCCTGTAGACGTGGCTGCAAAGACAGGAATGCCAGCAGAGAGCTGATAGAGTCCATGTAGGTACCAGCACTTGTGAATGTCAGAATCAAGTGTCTCCCAAGTTTGTGTTAAACACAGAACTCATTTCATCTTCCTCCACAGCCTGGTTGCTAACTACACTTCAGTAATTCCTGGTAGGTTGCATGTTGTCAATAGGGAATGGAATGGTAAAAATTGGCACGTCTAAAAGGAGTCATTTTCGTGGGAAGGTGGGCCAAGCTGTACACCAGGTTCGATGGGCAAACCTGGATTTCCTTCACTGTCAGTGGCTGTGGTCGGTTCTGTTTAAAGGGTAACTCTGCCATCTGTTCTGTACTGGGGTTTGCTGTTGCAGCTTTCTGGTTTCAGTATCTTACACATACTAAGTGTAGGATTGAAGAGTGTTGTATCTCAGTTCATAGCATTCTCTGCTACTGCCACTTCAAAACAGCAGAGAAGTAGGGTCAATAGTACTTCCAAAGAGATCTGTGCCATGGTGGGGGGAATCCCGAGATACCAAGCTGTTGGGACTCAGAATTTGAAGATGTCCTCATTGACAATGAATTGTCTCACCTGCCTGAACCATTGTTTACAGGTAGGTCTGACCATACTGCTTTGGTTCTTCCCTGTTTAGCTCTTGGAGAGCTGGGATGACATGGTCGTGGTTTCATGGGTTCAAAGCCATGGATTTACTGGCAAGTCCTGCCTGGAGGAAGGTGGTTTTCCTAGGAGGGATGCAGAAGGGGCTGGCACAGGCTGTGTGGCACGGAGCCATCAGCCCCAGGAGTAGGTGGCCAGCAGAGAGCCACAGCGCTGCTGGAGCTGACATGCGGGCAGTGCACAAGCTGGTTGGGTTCTGTTGTCAGGGGAGCAGCTGGGGAAAACATGGAGCAAAAGCAGCCTTGGATCTGAATCATTCCTGCCTTGGACAGTTTGGGCTGAGAGGATCCATCTGGGTCTGCCTCCACCCACAGTGCAGTGTCACTGTTAGTGTTGTTGGGGTCACTGGCTGTGTTTTGTTTTGTTGTTGCTGTGCTTGCAGGGATGTGGGGATGTATCGGCTTTCCCCTCCCATTAGACACTTGCTTTGTGAAAGCCATTCAATAGGCACCATTCTATTTCCTTTCTGGGCAGCTTTGATGTGATTTAGTTCAGCTCTCATTGAAAACACACAATGTGCTGCACTGTGAGGGAACCTGACTCTGAGCATCGCTGATAGATTGGAGGAGAGTTGTTCTGTGCATCTGTATACCTGGTAATGGTCTTAAGTGTTTTGTTTCCTTTACAGTGGAAGTGTTTTTACAGCTTTAAGCTGCACATATTCTGCACATGCCTTTAAGATGGCATGAAAGAAATGGTGCCTTGAGCTGTCATATTCTTGTGCATTATGATTGGTCTTTTGCAATTGATTTTGTCTTTCTTCCTGGTGAAAATTGAGGTGGTTTTCTTTATGTTCCATGATATGAAACATCCCATCAGAAATGCTGTCGTATGCAGCTTTCAGTGTTGGGAATGTTGGATCCAGCTTGCTTCCTATTTTGAGATTTGGAGTGTATTTTCAATGTGGAAGTTGTTACCATTGTTCAATAAATCCTACATGGTGTCATGCTTCACGGCAATTAAATCTGCTGGCTGTGATACTGCAGGGTGTTTGTTCTAATGTGTTTTCCTCACTGCCCCCTGCCCCTGGTTTTTGGGCTGTTTGTACTTTAGATGGGCTTTATAAAGTTGTACCAGCACAAAACTGACCTCAAATATCCCAGTTATTGAGTGTAGCCTCGATTGGACCGGTGATGCTATCAGCACATAAAATCTTCACTTGGATTGCTAAATTAAACGTCAAGTCCAGGGCATTGCCTGAAAGAATCTGGAAATCCATTAGGGATGGGGCAGCCACATCTGGAGCTGCTCTGAGGCCTCCCCTTCAGGAGCCTTCTCTTCTCCAGGCTGCCCCAGCCCAGCTCTCTCAGCCTGGCTCCAGAGCAGAGCTGCTCCAGCCCTCGCAGCAGCTCCATGGCCTCCTCCAACAGCTCCAGGTCCCTCTTGTGCTGCTGCCCCAGAGCTGGACCAGGAATGCAGGGGGGATCTTTCCAGAATGGAGCAGAGAGGGAGAAAAGCATCTTGTTTTTGGAATATATTGCCCCTGCAGGGGTTGAGTCCCAAATGTAGAAGCTGGTCAAGAGTTAGAATAAAGGGAAGAAGCGATTGTTAACAGTGAGGCTGCTGGGTGTGTGGGCAGGATGTGTCACAGCAGTGGCTGTAAAGCTGGCTGACCTGGGCAGCTCCGTCTAGGACTTGTGCAGTCATTTGCTGGCTGTAACATTCAGGGATGTGTCAGAATACCACAGGGATCAGTAAGGAAGCAGTTCCAATTATAATTAACTTATCCCCAGCACTGCCTGAAGAGTGCAAAGCAACTTGGCTGGTACCTGCTCTATAGATGCTGCAGCTGTAATCTCATTTGGAAGCCCCCGAAAGAGCATTTGATCAAAGCCAACCCTGATCTCTCTCCTCCTGAGCAGCCTGGTATTACATGACTCCGAGACGTGCATGGGAGGGTGGCTACTCTGTAATTGCCTGGCTGTGCCCCTATAAATACACAGTAATAGCATGTTCTTCCCATGCGGTGATGATTGTGTCGGATGGTACCGTATCATTCAGGGAGCGCTTACCATGTCACTTGCCGTTTTTAGATCCCATAACACGCTGTCAAGGAGGAAATCTGTCAGGCAGCTACCCTGTAATTTGCATGTGCTTTCATACTCAGGAGCTAGGATGTAATTGCTAAGTTGCTCCTGATGTGTTCATTTCAGGAATGCTATCAAGGGCAAGAGGCTTCGGGCTGACCCTGGAAATTGGGGTGTGTGGCTTCCTCCTCCATCCAGCACACCCTTACAGGAGGGAGCAATGGAAGTGCAGCTTGTGTTGGGTTTCTAACTAATGCAATGCATGGGGTGGATTTTCTGTAGATGTGGCTGCAGCAGGGGTGATCAGGTGGCTCTGTTTTCCACATGGGAGTTGAAATGTAGGTGGTTGGGGCTTGACAACAAAGAGTGGATAGCTGGTGATGGGCTTGGAGGCTGCGTGCCCCTTGCAGAGTGTGAAGCTAGCTTCACTGGAGCATCTTAACATGATTTACAGAGGTAGGTGTGTGTTGTTCTCATTTTGCATCTTTGAAGAAGGGGAACAGATTGTTTTAGCCAAGGTGACATCTAAGTTGATGGCAGTTGGATGTATCCCAGGTTCTGCTTGCTTTTGACTACTCTGCCATGGCTTTTATGCCTCATTTTGCCTATTCTCTTTTAAAAAATGATATTTCAGTTAGAAAGGACTGTAAAGACAATAGTGATAAAAAATCCATATCTATTGGGAAAGGCTGCTTCAATACTCAGTGGTAAATATCCTTGCACAAGGTGTAAGGACTGCAGGGAAAATTGCATTCCACAGCCCAAGTCTTACACCTCCAGTTATTAAAAGAGCTTGTTGGTCACAGGTCTGGTGTATCATAGAATCCCATGGAATCTGCCTCAGATCTCATCTCAGTCTCCCCTCTGGCAAGTTAAAGCCATTCCCCCTTGTCCCATCACCATATGTCCTTACCAGAAGTCCTTTTCCAGGTTTCTTGTAGGCCACCGTTAGGTATTGGAGCACTGCTGTAAGGGGCCTTCTCTTCTCCAGGCTGAACAAGCCTGAGGGTTACAAAGTGTGTATGACTACAAGGGGTAGTCCCTGAGCATCTCTTGTTTGCAGTTAGATCAGAGCATCCATCCCAGTGTCCCTCTTGCTTGTGGCTCTCGGGGTCCCTGTAGGCACCAGAGCTGCTCTGACATCCATCCTCAGAGGAAGGCCCTGACCCACTGCAGTGAAGCCCCAGGACCTTTAATACCAGGCTTCAGTTCTACTTAATATGATTCTGTCCGAAAGGCATTTGCCTATTCAAAGAAGAGTGAAGACTGTGAAAACCATGGCAAAGCTTCAGTGATTCCTTCCAAGGGGGAAAAAAAAAGGAAAAGAAACAACATGGAAACATGAAAATAAAATGCTATTTTAAGGCCATCTTTTAGATGAAGATAATCTTTGGGAGTAGGATCCTGAGGTGTGATTGTCAGCTGGAGGTCCAGGGTATCCCAGCATGAAATTCAGATGGCTTTCTGGCAGCCTTTGCCTTGAAGTAGAAGATGCAGAGTAAGTCTGGCAGCCTTCGGGCTGAGCCCTTGTAAACAACAGATGTTCATAACTGGAATCTTTTGGAAGAGGAGGGCAGGGAGCAGCATCCATGTCCATGCCTGTAATCCTCAACATTCGCAGGGAAGGCTGAGCTGCGTCAGGAACACTTTGAGGGGAAATCAGACGTGGATGTGAATGAGCAGAGAAATCCAGAGGAGTTTTCTTAAAGCTGCAATGGTTTCTTGCAGGAGAGATGATGCCATGCAGGAGGTATCAAAGCATTCGTGTCACGTGGACTTCAGTTGTGGTGTTATCGTTCTAATGGATAATTCGTGTCATAGGCAGTTTTGACCTGTGATTCCTTGTGATGGAGTTGAGCCCTGACATTTCCTCTCCCCCCCAAGTCTTTTGAGTCACAACATTTGGAAGATTTTTAGAAGCATGAAGCATTCTGTCCATGCTCATTGCAGGGGGTCGGACTTGTCTGATCTGTGAAGGTCCCTTCCAACCCGAGCTAGGACACAGGAAAAGCAAGAAAGTGCTTTTTTATCCTTCCTCCCAATTTTACATGGATCATAGAATCATGGAATGGTTTGGAAGGGACCTTAAAGCTCCTCCAGCTCCAACCCCTGCCACGGGCAGGGACCCCTTCCACTGGAGCAGCTTGCTCCAAGCCCCTGTGTCCAACCTGGCCTTGAACACTGCCAGGGATGGGGCAGCCACAGCTTCTCTGGGCACCCTGTGCCAGTGCCTCAGCACCCTCACAGTGGTTAATTTCTTCTGGAGGGAGTTCTTCCAGGACCTGGGAATGTCTGTCGCACCCCTCTAGGAAACCCATCCTGAGTATCTGGGGAGACAGAGGGAGGTGGAGCAGGACACTTCAGTTTCTGTGTGTACCAGCAGGGACTTGCTTCAAACTCCTCGGTTCAGGGGAAGAGCGATCGGAGAAGTTTTCTGTTCACGCAGGTGATGTGATGTGCCTGTATCCTTTAAAAGTTTCTTTCTATTTAGTAACATTTTCATTCCCATCTGACCCATTCCCTCCTTCTGTGCTCATTATGGAAACCCACTATTCCTGGGGTTTGGGAGTGGTGGTCTGGTTTTAGTCTCCTGTGGGGAAGGAAGTTGTCTTTTAAGGTCTGTTGCTCTGAAGAGGGTTACCTTGCAGCACCCAGCCAAGTGTCACCGGCCTTCGTCCCCGTCTCCTGCTCGCCTTAAAGCAGATGAATGCTGGATTGTCTCTTCCTTGTATGAATGAGTAATTTAATTAAGACATTTCAGATACTTGGGACTCAATCTTCCCGTCTGATCTCTTGAACCTTTGAAGTGGAAGTTGCACAGGGCCCCATCAAGATAACACCCGAGAAACCACAGAGCTTCATACTTTGTGGTTCCTTCAGAATCTGTGCACAGCTTCCTCTTCCTGCTCCCAAACACCCCCGACTGCTGTGAACTCACCTAAATAAACTCTCCGGATTTTGCTATCATCACACGATCTTGAAACCAGTGTAAATAGTGCTGGAAATAGACCTGGATCTTGGCATCTTCCTCCTCTCCTTGCGGGGCAAGTTGGAATCAAACAGTTGTGAATGAGAAATCATCAGCACTTTGGGCAAGTTCATAGCCAGGTCTTGAAGCTTTGGGTTGATCTCATCTGTTTTGCTGCTGAAGGGTGAATGCAGACTCTGCTCAGTCTGCAGAACCAGTGGAAGCCAAGCTCAATGCCAGTGATACCCATCGGTCCCTAGTGCGTGTTTTGTTTCCCTTTCCCATCCCTCCTCCGTGGAGACATGAAACTGGAAGCAGAGTGGATTTGCCATCTCCTTTGAGGATTGAAATGGTTAATGAGAATGGCAAACTGCTTCCCTGCCATCTGCTTGTGGTGACGATGGAAAAGGGTCTGTTGTAAACAGTTGTAGAACTTCTGCTCGGTGTTGTGAAAACCGTGCCCGTGTTCCAGCCTGAAAGCGCTGGGTGTTTAGGGGTGCCTCAGCAGTTAACGTGTGCCGTTGTAAAGGCTTCGTGGAAGGTCTGTAGCAAGTAACTGCCTCTTCCCTTTTCTGTTTCGTTTCTGTCTCAAGACCTGCCTTGATCTGCTTCTTGCCAGTGCTGGGAAGTCTGTCACTAGTAAGTACAGCGAGGTTTTGTCTCGCTTCCTATAAAACCCTTGCTGTGAAAGCGCTGAACCCGGACAAAGGCAAGAGGGGCCATTGTAAGGAGGCACTGGAGGGGTTACTGAAACCAAGAGACACCAAGAACTCAGAGGAGTTTAAAGGACAAGCTGTGGTTGCTGAGGTTGAGCTCCGGGTGCGGTGCTCGCGGCACAGATCCGAAGGTGACAATCCCGGTGGCGGATGGGAAGCGTGTGGGGATGTGATGATTTTTCCCTGCAGGATGGGCTTTCATGTGTAACCACACGGAGTGTGTCAACAGCCCATCTGGCGCCATTAGACACCAGCAGTTTTACTCACCATGCTTTTCATGGGCTCTTGGTATTCCTGCTATGTGGTGCCTTAGAATAGCTTTGGGGGTTGCGGTAGGGCAGCCTGGACAGCTGGGAATTGTCCAGTTAACTATTGCATCTCTCCCAGTTGCCTTTGGAAAAGTAAGGCACTTGTACCATGCTGTTCTCTGGTCCCTTGGCTACTGCTGTGGCGTTTGGTCCGTGATGCTCACAACTCATTCAAGCTGCTCATGATGGGATTGGGCAGATACCTCAGTAGGAACATCCATGAGGAGCCAAGTGCTCTTTGTGGAACAGAGAGCAAAGATTCATAGTGAGATGGAGTATCACAGAATCCCAGAGTGGGTCGGCTTGAAGGGACCTTAAAGCTCCTCCAGTCCCAAGCCCCTGCCACGGGCAGGGACCCCTTCCACTGGAGCAGCTTGCTCCAAGCCCCTGTGTCCAACCTGGCCTTGAGCACTGCCAGGGATGGGGCAGCCACAGCTTCTCTGGGCACCCTGTGCCAGCGCCTCAGCACCCTCACAGGGAAGAGCTTCTGCCTAAGAGCTCAGCTCAGTCTCCCCTCGGGCAGGTTCAAGCCATTCCCCTTGGCCTGTCCCTACATCCCTTGTCCCAAGCCCCTCTCCAGGTTTCCTGCATCCCCTTTAGGCACTGGAGCTGCTCTAAGGTCTCCCCTTCAGGAGCCTTCTCTTCTCCAGGCTGAACAAGTGATGGGAGATAGAAAGGATCAAACCAGCTGTGGTTCTGGGTTGGCAGCTCAAGCAGAGGAGTGGTCCAAAGCCTGAGAAGTCAGCAGCCTGCATGCAGCTGGGCTGCTTCTGGCTGCTTGGAGATCTGTGGCTGCACCAGCCTTAAGGAAAGAGCGGAGCAGTGAAGTGATGAAGCAGTAAGAGGCTGTTGAGGGTTTTGAGGCAGGATTTTGAACAGCTACAGCACGATCAGCTGCTGGAGTCTGAGCTTTTTGTTCCTAAGTTTAAGTCCCCCACTTTTCCTGGTAGTTGGTTAATTCTCACTTCCTGCAGCTCTTCCAGCTTTGGAGAGCAAATACAAAGTCAGTGTGTAAAGTCCTTTTATATCGTTGATATAAAGGAGCAAACCAGCTTCTTTTTAACTTTGAATACTGTCCTTTGTCAACTTCTCTGTATAATCACCCACAATTCTTCCTTCGTTTGCTTCCTCTCTTCCACCTGAGTGAGCTTGCTGGTGGAGGTGGTGGTTGTGCAGATGGTGTCTACACCTCTGACCCAGCGCTGCTCCTTGGAGAAGCTCTTTCTGGAGATGCCCTTCCTCCTCCTGCCCTCTCTTCAGTGGAAGAAAGCTGGTTTCTTGTCTCATCCAAATTAGAAAACCCCTTCCTGTGTATATTGCCTTTTTCCATGGTGGCAGCTTTATATCTCCATCAGATAGCATGTGCCCTTGGAGGCTGCTGCAGCCTGCTCACTGCCCATGGATTTACACTGGGTCTCACAGTCAGTGTTTAGCTCCCTGGCATAGTAACAAAACACACGGTGTGCTGCAAATGCTGACTGCAGATGGGGGGGGTGGTGACTGCTTGATTTATAGAGCTGAACATCTGGCAGTTTCAACCTTGTGCAGTTCTGCATTTTGATCATTCCATCTGGTTTTGCGCGTCAGCAGTATCTGCAATACAGGACGTACAGTAGGGAGGCAAATATTGTCTCCAAATAAAATCTCTGCATCTCAAAACACCAGGAGACCCAAAAGCCCAGAATCCTTTTTGCACCCCCTCCTACTATATATACACACACTCCAACCCTGGGAGCAGATTTGGACAGCACAAGCTGCAGTTATTTCCTGAGCTTTTCGTATTCTTTTGAGAAACAAAGCTGGTCTGAAACTATTCTTATCTAAAATTACCTGTATTGCACTGCAAATCCAATCACTGATGTCATGGCAAGGGTAATGAAACTGCCACAGGTTAATTTTCCCAGTGTCAGACAACTCTTGCAGCAGATTCTGTCCTTTTCAGTGCAGAATATTCTTCTCTTTCAATGGAAATGAAACCACGTTTTGTTTAAGAGGGAAGAAATGGGCTGCAGTTGCTTGCAGTAATCAAGAGCAGCATTGGCTTTCCTCCAGATCTGCCTTACTCTTTTCTAAATAACTATTACTGTACTGTAAACAAATGATAAACAGATCTAAGGAGAAGTAAATGCTGAGTTCAACTACACCTCGACGTGCCAGCTCCAACCAGGACCATGCAGCATCCCCGCGAGCCTCTTCGCTTTCATCTAGGGCCTTAAGAAATGGTGCTTTTAGTGATTTACTCCCTTTAGTAGATGAAATGTTGATCTAAATAAACTGAGGTTCCTCTCATCTCCCTTTGGTTTTTTTCCCTTTGCATTGCTTATTTGCAGGCTGCAGAGTGAATCAGCTGTGCTAAGGTGGAGGAAGTTCAAAGATGAGAAAATCAAGCTGGTTTTATGAGTGTTGCCTTTTCTTTTGCTCAGGACAGATACATATGCTCACATGTACATAAAACACAACATTCTGTTTCCTATGCAGATGCTATTTAGCATCTGAAGTCTTATTGTGGTGAAGTCCCAGCTGCCTGAGACAGCACAGGGAAACCTGGTGTCAGACATTGGAGCCATCGCTGTCCCTCAGGCACTGTAATCTATGCACAGAATCTTGGATTTAAAAGCAGAAATCAAAGCCTACATTTAGCATCCTGGAGCTTGCATTTGCCTTTGTTTGTTGGGGGACAAAAGCCTGTGGCCATGTGAATGTAGTTGTGTGATTTAAGGTGTGTTTTCTGGGTGTGCAATAGCCATTTTATAGCCATCCTCTGCTCTCCTCAGCAATCCATCCATCCTGTAGCTGAGTTTCTAGCCTTTCTAGGTCCAGACCATCTTGAGCAGAACGGGTTTGTGCACTTCAGCCCTATCCAATTCTTGTTTCTGCTTTGTGTCCTTTCTAGGAAGGATCAGAATGTGCTGTCCCCAGTGAACTGCTGGAATCTCCTGCTCAACCAGGTGAAGCGGGAGAGCAGGGACCACACCACGCTCAGTGACATCTATCTCAACAACATCATCCCGCGCTTCGTGCAGGTCAGCGAGGACTCGGGGCGCCTCTTCAAGAAGGTAACTCAGTGCTGCACCACTTCCTTTGTCCCTTCTGAAATACCATTTTAGCTGTTGACTGGTGGATGGAGTCACTGGTGGCTGTGCTGACATGGGCTTTCTTCCTCTTCATGGGTGACTGTGCTGGCTTTGATTTCTTCAGTCATTTTCTTCTTGCAGTGGTTTAGGATGGTCCCAGAAGTGGCCAGTTTTGATTTGTTGGTTTAGATTCAGTCTGGTTTTTCCTTTTAATCTCCTCATCATAGTTTGTATGCCCTTTGAAACCTCTATTAAATATGCAGAAACCCTGCAGGTCTTCAACTCTGACAGGACCAGCTCTCTAAACTAAACTTGTATTTCCCATGGAGGAGAAACTACTGCTGAAAGGAAAAGTGGGAGAATTCTTACTGTGCTACCTAAGAAATGGATGTATTGTCCTCTCTGGAAAAGAACATGCAGCTGATGTCTCTTTTGTGCGCCTCCCCTTGATTCCTACCTGGAAAATACGGTGGGACAGCATGGGAGAGGATTCTTCTATTAAGACTCTGTTGTTCCAGTAGTAGAAACATGATAGGGTAGCTCTGAAGCTCCTCTTGAACGGTGATGCCTGGTCTCTCCAGTCAATGGCTCTAATATCTGTGAGGTGACACGTTAACATTGCAGGTCTGACTTTGAAAGCCATTTCTCTTCCCTCATCCCTTGCAATGTGTCGTGACAGGGAGAGCTCTTTCTACTATTGCAAGGCCTAGAGAAGGGCGTTGCAAAAGGGCTTGAGGTTTCTGGAGAGGGCTTTTGTGGAGACTTTTCCTAAATCACATAGAGTCTGTGAGAGAAGTGGGGGAGGAACAGTGTTCATCAGAAGATCTTGGTGTACTTTCATGGGTGTCTTCTTGCTTTCACTGGTGTCAGTGATGTTAAAACAGTGTCAGTAGGTTATGATCTGTTTAGGTGCAGTCAGCAGTAACGTTGGCTTTTCACTCTGGTCTTAACAGTCTTCTAAAAGCCTTGAAAGAGCATTCCAGTATTCCTTAGTGTCCCTCTATTGCTCTAACTGATGAGGCCAGTATGTGTAAAGCAGTGTGTTCAGACTGCTAGCAAACAGTGCTCAATATGGTGTGTTGTGTTTCATGTCAAGATGCACTTGAGGGAGCAGCGTGTTGTGTGTTACCTGGAGAGCAGGATGTGTTTGCTCTTTTACAGCAGGTATTTGTGTGTGTTGGCAGCTGATTTCCATAGGGGAATGAAAACAAGTGGACACTTGTGTTTGTCCTCTGTGTATTTCTGGAGTTTTAAGGGATAGGAACAGAATGTGTGACAATCTGGTTTGCTTTTACTTCTTCTTTTGAGTCGCTCCCCAAGCAGAGGAGCAGCCTTCTCCCTCTCAAGTAGCATCACACTAAGGCCTTTTTGACCTTTTAAAACTTTGTGGTAATTACATTATGGTTGATTAGATACTTACAGGGGATTACTGAATGGCAGCTACTCTTCAATTCCCCTAATCCTTCCAAAGGAGCAGTAATCTCCCCACTGAATTTCAACAAAGGCTGTGCTTGAGGAAGGTGGCTGAGAAAACGCCATGGCAAAGCACTACAAGGAAATCGATAGGATCCCAGTTTGGCTGGAAAGGAGCAGCTTAATTTTCAGCCCCTTGTGTAAAAGCCTTGTATAAACCACAACAATGGGTTTGTCCTGCTTGGGTTGATTTGGGGTAGAGGAATAAAACCAAACAAATCACTGCCCACCAAAGCACAATACCCCTGTGGTTGCTTTCTCACAGCTCTAACACAAACAGAAGGCATTTGTCTCCAAATCCCAGCTATTTGTCTCTGACAAGATTGGCTTTTCCTGTTTGCCAGTGGCAACTGTAGCTGTTGGAATTGGGCTGCCAATCTTGCTGCTGGTTTGGGAGCTCTCAGTCCTTGGCTCATTCTACCCAGGGGACCTGTGTTAAAAACGAGGGCACTTTGCTGTGTGAAGGCCTGAGGAACATCACATCTTTACACTGGAAAAGACCTTCTAAGAAAAGTTAGATGTGTCTGGCTGCTTGCAGGTGCTCTAGTGACTTACATTTAGGAGCTGCTCACTGGCTTGTAAATAATGCTGTGAAATGGAGAGGATACAGAGCTCCCCATTTACTGAGAGCAGTTGAAATCAAATCCTGAGGCATGAGATCCTTTTCTTGGGCCATTTATAATTCAGGGCTTTGTGTCCTGCTGGGAGGGAGCAGGTGAGCTAAGGGGAACAACCAGGCTAAGAAAAGATGTGCTTAAGATCCCTTTTGTTGCTAACCTCTGTATCTTGCACTGCGTGAAGTGGTGAGCTGCTTCAAACGAGAGAGATCTGAGTACACCGTGGAGCCATAATCCAGCCTGAGGGCTGTGAGGGGCCTGGGTGAGCGTGATAAGGTCTGAGCTGGGAAGGAAGCACATCCCTGAGGGTGGCATTGATGTGAAGGGAAGCGGGTGGGAGCTACTGTGGTGTGGCTGGAGCAGCATGAACCCAAACCAAGTCTCCCTGTCCAGAGGAGCACTGGAACTGGTGGGAGCAAATGTGGGTTTGTCTCTTCCAGTGGCCCCGGTGGACACACTGAGACCGATTCTTGTGTTCACCCTTGGACCCCTGGACCAGTTCTACCAAGGGCACAGCAGTGCTGATGGTCGAGCTGGGACGGGTCTGTCCTGAAATCAGTGACCTCCTGGAGTTCCAGCAGCGTTGTGCATGGCTTTTCCAAGGGTTCACCTTCACAGTGCCATGGGAAGCCTGCGTGGTCCATGGCTCTGCTTGTGCAGTTCTGTCCCTGTCTCGTGATGAAGAGATCCCTCTCCAGGACTGTGTTACGATGTGGAGGGTCTCGATTGCCTGAGTGCTGGAGGGAAGCCTGCCAGCCACTTCAAAGGTAGCTCTGCTGATAAGAGAAGCTGCGTTTGCTGCCAAAGCCAGCCCTGAAGTGGTGCTGGATGTACAGCGTGTGTGAGCCCTGGTTCTTCCTGCCTCTGGGATCTGTTTACTTCCTCACATAGCTCTCCCTGTAAAGCCTTTCAGTGTCAGAGCACTGGGCTGTTTGCACCAGATGTGGGGTTAGAACTTACTGAGGCTTGCAGCCAAAGGTGGAGGTATTTGAACACCCTTCTCTTTCCATGGCCTTTGTCTTGGGTTCTCCTAAGAGATCGCTTTTACATCTCAGTAGATGATGTTGTCAGTCAGGGCTGGAAACTATAGCAGATAAATCCTGTTGGCATCAGTGGGGATCTGGCATTGGCTTCAGGAATGGTGTCAGCTCAATTGTGTGCTACTGCAAAACAAAGGGAAGACAAATGGTGACATAAATAAGCTCTCGAGCAAATAAAACTGAGCAGACTTGCCCTAATACCAAACTGGTACACCTGAGGAAGGAGGTCATATTTCCTTATTTGTGCAGGATTTAGCCCTGGGTTTTGTGCAGGGCTGGTTTCAAGCCTGTGTGCCACCCGGTGTTGCTATTCTGGTCACCTCTCCCTTTCCTGGATGACTGTAAGGCTTTGATGTTGGTGCCTTTCCTACTGCTGTGGAGAGCAATCCTCTGATTGCTTCCTGTTTATCCTCTTCAGCGTGGCCCTGAATATATATTTGTATATGTGTTCAAAATAGTCTTCCATTTAGGTTGATTCTGGGTTTGATTTTCCCTTTCCTCCCTTTTCACTCTGTGCCCCCATCACCCCATCCTTTTAATGTGGCCCTTGATTTCTTTGCATGAGGGGTGATGGGGGATCATGAGGGGAGAGCAGGGGCAGCCATGGGCTTTGAGGGGTGGCCATGGGGGGAGGTCAGCTTGCCCTCAGTGACATGGTTTAGTGATGGGCTTGGTGGTCCTGGGGTTACAGTTGGGCCCAGTGAAAGGCAGATTTATTCTGCAGATGCACAAGTTCCTGTCTCTTAACTTAGAGCCACACTGGAGATGCTCGGAGCAGTGACTCCATCCTGCTTTAAGGCTCATTGAGGTGGATGTGTCCTCCTGGTATAGAAAGGGGACAGGGAGGGGTGGTTGCCCTACAGATTGCTTTGAGAGCACAGCATTCCTTTACATGGTTGTATCAAGTGCAGTTGTGATATTTATGGGGAGAAAACCGTGTAAAACATGAAGAAAACAAAGCTGAGGGTTTAAATTCGCTTCCTGTCTAATACCTTTGATCCCAGGGAAAACCCAGTTTATCTGTTAGTACACTGCGCTTGATGTGAAATGGAAAATCCACAATGAGTTGCTTAAAAGCCTTGTGGTAATCAAGGAAGAAGAATTATTAATTCTCTTAAGGGGTCCGTGCTTAAGCTGACCTACTTTACAGCCGCAGTGTGGCTCGTGGCTGCGTTGGTCCTGGCATATGAAAGGTCTTAAAATACCCCACACAGGGAAAACCCATGCACAGGAAGGAAGTGCACTGGCCAAAATGCTGGGCACTTCTCCATACCAATGTAAGCATGTAAATAGACAAATACCATCAGTAAAACTGAGGTGCAGACATGGTATGTGCGTGCTCTAGCTCTGCTCTCACATGTGCATCCTTACCCACTGCGCTCCTCTGCTGTAGGTGCCTCAGGAAATAGCGATGTTGAGTTCTTCCTCTTTTCCCCAAAGGTAGAGGCTACAGAAGCCTGTTGGGAAGTGCTGCTTTCAGATTTCTCACTGGGGAAATGAAGCCTCCCAGCTTTCCTACCTGCTTATATTTAGAACAAGTGGAGTGGAGGAAGGGAGAGGGAGCGGATTCACCAGTGTGGTGCTGTGATTGGAGTGATGGTTTCTGTTACCCTGGTAGCACTTTGTACCTGGTCAGATACAGTGGTGGGATCAGAGCCTGATGCCCAGGTACTGAATGCCAGAGGCTACAGCTGGAGTAATTCTACTGTATGTTACAGGCTAAAAATGCCACTTCTGCATTTAGATTGGGCATGGAATACGCTGCAGTTGGGCCTGGATTGAGAGCAGCACTGAGGAGAAAGGACTTAAAGGTCCCTCCAAACCTAACCCATAAATTGCTTGGTTTGTTGGGATGGAGTCCCTGAAGGCCAAGGTTCAACAGAATCAGCACAAAAATAAGAGATATAGGGGTTGTTTGGAAGAGACCCTTTAAGCCTGGAGAATGTGAGGCAGTGGTGTGACGTGGTTTCATGTAGGAATGGGTTTTCAGAGTAGAGGGGTTTGCTGTCATAAAGAAAATTCCTTATTACTGACATAGTGGTGAAAGAAATCACTAGTGGAGAAAACTAGATAATACAACTGGAAGTTAGATACGAGTGCCTGAATCATAATGCACCATTACACTGGGAACTGAGGAGCTGTCATCCAAACTGTGCATGTATATTGTACAGCATGGCACAGGTTTTGTTCTCCTAACTTTGCTTTCAATCCTGGAGAGTCTGAAGCTTTGGAAGAGGTCTTCCCAGAATTCCTGTTCTGGAGGGGTGTGTGATGATGGCCAAGCACCTTATCCATAAAGTTCTTGCAAGTCTTCTCTTTAACAAACTTCTTAAGTAGATGTTAACTAATATGTAATATTTAGTTTTAGATTAGATACTAGGTAGACTGAGCTGAGCTCTCAGGCAGAAGCTCTTCCCTGTGAGGGTGCTGAGGCGCTGGCACAGGGTGCCCAGAGAAGCTGTGGCTGCCCCATCCCTGGATGAGCTTTAAGCTCCCTTCCACCTAACCCAGGCTGGGATTCTATGAATAAATATCCTAATTATTCCTTTTTAAATGATGGAGAGAAATGGTCTTGTTAGAGAGCAGTTTCCAGGCTCAGCACATTCGGGTTCCAGCTCCAGCCCTGTTGCGGGCTGACATAGTTTTAGGCAATGTATCAGATAAAATCTCTTATCTCTGTGCGTTTCATTCCTTCTCTGATGGTTTGGGAGTGTTCCCCTGCTGTTGAGGAGCTTACACAGAAAGCATCTTCTGAACTTCACGGCGTGTTTGGTGAAGCTGAACCATCCTTCTGTCAGATTTGGATCCACGTTAGTGAGGCTCGAGATGCGGCGCGTGAAACGCTGACAGCATTCCTTAGCTCTCCTATTTATTATCCCCCCGAAATATTTTGAAGCTGAAGTCGTGAATGTGTGCTGGAATGTGGAACAGCCAGGCGAGTGCTGCAGTGGATCCCAAAAACATCTTGATTGAATTAGCCGGGAGGTGGAGGGGAGGAGGCTGGAACAAAGAGGCCGTTGAGGAGCTGGCACCGGGCGCTGGGAATCTGTGCTCCAGCCAGGGGTGGCAGCAACCTCCAGCTCTGCACATGGTGCATGTACCCCCTGGTGTAACAAAGGAGTATGTGTGCGTGTGTTGATGCATGTGTGTGCGTAGGGCAGCTTCTTTCACTTTCCTGCTTTGGGCTGGGGAAGAGGCAGCTTGTGAGCACAACACTGAGGCTGCAGGTTGCTCTGCTTTCCCCTTCCCCAGCCTCAGGCATGGGGGGGCTCCCATGCTGTGCCATCATCTGAGTGCCCTAATGATGCGCATCGAAGTAGATAATCTCCCAGATCAAGAGGACAAGTGTTTAGCCTTGATGGGATGAGGAGATGACATGGTTTGTGGGGACGCTCCCTCCCCACAGTGCATTATTGGAGTCAAGGAGATAAGATTTGGTTGCACAAGCCCTTCCTCAGGGTTTTTAGGGGATGTACAGACAGGCTCCAGTTGCAGGTACAGCCAGGAACAGAGAAGGATGAAAATTTACCAGGTTTCTTTTTTGCTTGTATTTATTGCTCTTTCCTGGAAGGCTGTTTACAAAATGCATCATTCTAAACCCCATCTGCTTTTGAACAGCATAATAAAGAGATTGATGTTGAAATAGCAGTTGGTACCTGGAGACGTTTGCAAGCGCAGAGATGATGCGGTTGGTTATCCTTGGCATGCATTTCAGTTGTAATTCCATGCCACATTCTAGCGTGAGCCTGAAATCCCTCCTGCCTGTGTGATGCTGGTTTTAACTTGGATGCGCTCGGAGCTCTATGGGACCTCAGGCAAGTTCTGTGTGTGTCAGATCCACCACCCCCTACAGCACTTGAGCAGCCACTTCTGTGCTGATGTCTAAGGCATTTTCCTTTGCCTTTCCCAAGCGAACCCTTCTGCTTCCTCCAGTGCCTTTTCATTTATCAGGGCCACCAAGCTAATTTTCTCCCTAAACCTGTTCTTGTTGGTGGAATCAGTAGAGGGAGCAGCAGTAAATGAGCAGTGATCATTGCACAGCTCTTGTTTTCATGGCACCTGTGATCTATCTTACCTTTATCTTAATGGGAGTCCTTTTCCAGTCCAGCAATCTGGCAGTTCCTTTCTTGAGAGCTCATTTGGAAGCACAAAGACTTGGGTGTTTTGACAGTTCAGCTCTTAAGCTGCTGCTTTTCTTCTTCAACCTGAACAGGCATTAAAATATTCATTTTCATCTTTCACATAATTGATGCTTCAGCAGTTTTACAGTGAATGAGCAATTTTATGCAGGAAATAAGCAAATGAGCTGAAAAGAGCTGGGTGAAGGGCAGGTGATTGGTCCAGTCTTGAACCAGCACAGCTGAGAAGCTCCTTCTGTGTGAGAAGTTCAGTGCTGAGGGCATTCCAGGCAGAGCCAGTCACTTCCATTAATCGTCTCCAGTGTTGAGGGAAAAGGCAGTCATAAAAACCTTTGCCACCCGTGTCAGTGCAGTGATGAGCAGCAGCTTCAGCTTGCTGCTTTCAGAGGTGGAAAACTGCGGATCTTATTTCTGGGAGCAGGTTGGAACTGGAGGAGCTTTCAAGTCCCTTGCAACCCAAAGCATTCTAGGACTCCATGGAACACTGCATCTTCAGCGAGCCATTTCTACTCCAGTATCTGAACGTATCCAAGAGCAACCGTGTCCTGGTGAATCCAGGAAATAAACTTAGGACGTGCATACAAGTGAGAGCTGCAGGCCTTGCAGCCAGGCTTCCCCCATGGGTTTGTCTCCATAAGGCTTTGCCAGGCCCCATGAGCACCCTCATATCCTCAGGGATCAGTATGATGAGGTGGCACCGGCAGCTCGTGATGTGTGTGTGGTTGAGGGACACGGAATAAGGGTGAGAGGGGTGGGCAGGCGGTGGCACAGGGCTGGCAGTGAGGTCAGGGTCAAAGGGAGGAGCAGCAGAGCTGCCTGCAGAGATGGGAGCGGGGAGGATGTGATGGATGGCTCTCATGCACTTGAAGTATTGCCTTGTTCATGGTACGATGGAAGAGCATTCCTGTTGGCTTCCTTATCCTGCCTTTCTTTGGCTTCCATGCCGACCTGTCCCACATTGATCGTTCTGTTTGATCCTGCTAAAATGGGCAAATCCGTGTGTTTCCAGGCTTACACTGTTGAAAATCCCATGTTCTCGGGAAATTTCCCTGTCTCTGGACTGTCAGGCTTCTCTGCCTGTGCATATGTAAGAGTTTGATGTGTTAATCCTGTTTGTACAGTTTGACCAGCAGTGGCTCTGGGCTGAGCAGTTATTGGATTTGCTGGCATAAATAGCAGTGCTTAATCGAGCCTACAGTATTTCTAGCTGGGGAGTGTGCTCGCTTCCTCTGCCTTTTCACTGTCTTCCCCAATTAACTTTCATTTCTGTGTTTTGTTGCAGAGCAAGGAAGTGGGATTGCAGCTCCAGGAGGACTTGATGAAAGTCTTGAATGAACTCTACACGGTAAATCAAACTGATTCTCTTGGCATCTTTTCAGGCAGCAGGCAGAAGTGTTTGACTTCTCCCAGCCTGCCGTTACAGCAGGGACTAAGCACCAAGGCTGATAAATGTCTGCAGGCTGTGCAGCTCAGGGCGGCTGGTGCTCACCAGTCTATAGAGCACCATAAATCTCACTTTTTCACTCTATCCCTCTGTTGTTTCAGCTCTGTAAGTGTTGGCTCCACTTCTCAAAGATCTCACCTTAATGCACATCTGCTACTAGCTGCAGTGTTGGGTTTAAAAAGAGTAAGACATTATAGACCTTGTAACAGTCTTACAATACCTAAAGGGTCTACAAGAAACCTGGAGAGGGATTTTTGACAAGGGCCTGTAGGGACAGGGCAAGGGGAACGGTTTGAACCTGCCCGAGGGGAGACTGAGCTGAGCTCTTAGGCAGAAGCTCTTCCCTGTGAGGGTGCTGAGGCGCTGGCACAGGGTGCCCAGAGAAGCTGTGGCTGCCCCATCCCTGGCAGTGCTCAAGGCCAGGTTGGACACAGGGGCTTGGAGCAAGCTGCTCCAGTGGAAGGTTTAAGGTCCCTTCAACCCGAGCCATTTCATGATCAGGATTACTTCCAAATACACTGCAAGTCTTCAGCCCATGGTGCTGTGTGGTCTCGGTGTACAGAAGGCAGCACACGGCTTCAGCGGGGGGACTCACTGTGTTTGTTCCTCAGCTCTTTCAGCAAAACAGCTCCCTTTAGAGTCGTTCTCCTCCATCTGTGCTCTTTGCTTCCCGGTCTATCCATTGGAGACACTGAGAACGAGGCAGTGCCTCGGGAAGGAGAAGGAATGTGTTCATAAAAGTTCATACGCTGCTCCAGGACGTCTCTGCTCACATGGAGGAATGGAAAAGCCTGTTGCTTGATTGAATTCTTGCTTTCTGCAGCTGTTACTGAGCTGGTTCTCTTTGAAAAGCAGAACCCACACACGGTTTTGTTGCTCAAAATGTCCTTTTGTTTGTCCTTCCTTAATGATGCGTTGGGTCATTACACTGAGATAAGTTTCCTTTGCTCTTTCAAAGGATCCCAGCCTGGTTTGGGTTGGAAGGGACCTTAAAGCTCATGCAGTTCAAGCCCGTTGCCACAGGCAGGGACACCTTCCACTAGAGCAGCTTGCTCCGAGCCCATCCAAAGGAGTAGCAGAATCCCTGTTTTCAGGCAAAATGGATAGGGATGAGATCTTTAGTTTTCCTCCATAGATAAAGCCTAGAGGATTATAATGACCTGTAAGTTTTTAATAGGAAGTGTCCTGTGTCAGCCCATGACTGTGCTGTTGCCCTCAGCAGGCAGCTTGTGCGTGCCAGTGCGGCACCGTTAGCAGGATAAAATCATTAAAACTGGGATTTCTCTCTCTGCTTCTCTTGCTTTCTGCCAGTTCCACTCTCAGTGATAGAGGAAAAGAAACTGCTTTGCCTCTATTATTACAAATGCCTGCTTTATAGCCTAAGCATATGCAGGAGCTGAAAGTGTGTGTGTGTAAATTATTCAGCGAGCCTCTCTCGAACACTGCCTGCACTCACATTCTCTTTCATGTTTAAATACAGTGTCTCTTTGTATCTGAAAACCTCCGCTGATCACTGCGTGGAGGGGGAGCATGTGTCTTCCTTATGTAAAATCATGTTATGGTTCAACCTGAGGTGAAATAGGTATAAATGGGGGTTCATCTGAAGTAATTGTTTTGCCAGGGGGGGCTTTATTAACGCTGGAATGGCACTATTGGGGTGTCTTTATGGAACTGTGCATTTTGGGGGGCCCCTATAGAAATGCTGTCATCGTGGTGTTTGTTTAGGTATGTTAATTGAATCGCTTTGCATTGATGGATGAGGAAAGCTAGTTGACATGTGATGTCCTTTGGTGTTTTTGTTCTGTTTCATTAACACAAAGCTAGACATGAATATCCTGTGACATGAAGGGGGAATATTCCTGTGACTATCTATACTTATCAAATATGTGCTATCCAGGATCCAGTACAGTTCTCCCTGAGCAAAAGAACCACACGCTTTTTGAGACTATTTTCATTAGATAAGGTGAACAGAAGTACTTATGCATCTCCAATTGGATTTAAACAAATGGAACCTGAGCTGCTTTAGCAGCCATTATGTTCAGATTATTGATCTGCAGGACAGTTCCTTGGGATCTGGGATGTTTAAAGGCCTGATTCATCCAGGTGGAAGACTGACAGGCATTCCTTCTGCAGCCTTACCTGCTGATGAAAGCTGTCATTTCCCAACGTTGGTATATAATTTCCCTTGAATAGTGAGGAAGCTGGGTTTAATCTGTATCTGTTTTTGGTTTCTATGCCTCCTTTATTGGATCATACAAGAAGGCGCATGCCAAAGTGAAACAAAGAAGCAGCTGCAGCATCATCCACTTTGATTTCAGATTCATTCTGAGAGCCGCACTTCCACGCAGGCATCTTCTGTCCTGCTTTGTTGAGATGGGAAAGCTCCCATTTTGCCAGTTGAGATATTTCTAACTCCCAGTTACCAACCAGATCTGTCTTGTTGGGCACTGTTTGAATGTGTTTGCTTAGTATGATATATAAACATGCTGGGCATTTGTACATAAATGTGATGGGCAGCTGTTACGAAGTAGGTATGTTAAAGAACGTACCGTTTTAGGGGGTGTATTGGCAAATATGTTGAAGCATAAAGCATATGACCTCTTCCTTAGGATTTTGTCCTTCCTCACCTGTGCTCTTTCCTGATATATCATTCCTGTTCTCCCTAAGGCTTGGTCATGCAGCTAAAGTGAGGCAGAACGTATGGATGCCTAGTCTGGTGGTTAGGTAAACCCATTTCTTCCTCAGCAAATGGAACTGTGGAGCTCTGACTCTTGGCTATCATTTTCTGCAGGTTATGAAGACCTACCATATGTACAATGCTGACAGCATCAGTGCTCAGAGCAAACTGAAAGAGGCGGAGAAGCAGGAGGAAAAGCAGATTGGGAAGTCGGTGAAGCAAGAGGACAAGCAGACACCGCGCTCCCCTGACTCAACCTCCAACGTCAAGTTTGAGGAGAAGCATGTTCGACGGAGCTCTGTCAAGAAAATAGAGAAAATGAAGGAGAAGGTACTGCCCTAGTGCTTGTGTAGAGTGCTTGGGGAGGAGGTAGGCTCTGAAAAGACCAAGTTTAGGCCTAGCTTCTGTTGGAGGAGATGGATTGCCTGAACCAGCCCTCAGACTACCTATGGGCTTCTGTCAGCCACCGTGGTAGTGCTGGAGCTGGGCTGTAACCTCATAAACCCACCTTGTTCCTCCATTCTGACCTCAGTCTTCCCCAACCTGCAGCCTCTTTTAAGAGAAGACTTGAAGTGCAGAACTGTTAAGTATAGTACTGCTTAAAACCATCCACATCATTAATCTGAGTCTTTGAGTCTTGATGAAATGGAATCCAAATGAAGAGAAATGTGTGAGCACAGTAAGATTGTGCAGTGTTCTCTGGTGTTACTAAGAATGCTGCTACTCCTGCTGCACCTCTTTATAACCTCTGTTCTGTCTGTGGTTCTCTTCTAGCGCCAAGCAAAGTACACCGAAAACAGACTGAAGGCTATTAAGGCAAGAAACGAGTATCTGCTGGCTCTGGAAGCCACCAATGCATCTGTATTCAAGTATTACATTCATGACCTGTCTGATCTCATTGATGTAAGTGCTGCTGCTTGGGTGCCTGCAATGAGTATCATTGCCGCTAACCCACATGTGTCTTTCCTTCATTGTTCAGCATCTTCTACACTGGTACAGCTGGTAACCTCTGTACGGCTGTGGAATGAGGATCTTGGATGGGCAGCTTAGAGGGTAACAACAGGCATAATAACTGGTCACTAAGCTGTTAAGTGAGCTTTTTGTCATTGAGTAACTCAGTTTTGTTGCACAGATATAAACTCACACAAGAAACCTGACATTGAAACATGCAGAAGGAGACTTGCTTAGTTAACATGAAACTCGGCTTCAGTATCACAGTTGCTTGACATTTTTTACCTACTATTTTAAGCAGGCAAGCGGGATTGTAACGCAGAGGCACATTTTCAAACAGAATGTTAACTGTAGAGCCGTAAAGCACTTGGTAACAGAAACTGAGGACACAAGCCTCTTCTAAAGCTACTTTTAACTTGTTCTGCAAAATTCCATCTATTTCAAGGCTAGTGTTTTCTCTAGCGTATTTCACAAGAATGAACCTCCCTGCTTTTTAGACCTCCTGTTCTCTGATACCCAATCCACCAGTGATGGAGGTTGTGCTTGCCTCTCTGTTCACACAGAGAAATGAAGAAATTAACTGGCTATGGAAACCAGTCCCCCGTTTCCTTAAGGATGCTCCCTGCAGAAACTGAGTAATGGGGCAGGAGGTTGTTCCCCAGCTACCTGCAAGCTCTTGTGTTCAGGGGACATCATGCCTGCTTTTAGTAAAACACACAACAAAACCCTCCTTTCACTGAGTAAAACCAGTAAGAATCCTGAGACATCTCACAACTACATAACTCCCCTCTTCACTGGGCAGAACTGGAGTACCAGATGCACTGAACACCTTGTGTCTGGGTCACTGCCTGCTGCTTGCTCTTACTCTGCTTGCCAAGCACTGCTAGAGCTACTCGGCTGCAAAGCCTGGAGGGAGCTTGCCTTGTAGGAGAGGGAGGTAATGATAGAAGTGTCTCTAGACAGAGGCAATAAGGAGCACTCAGATCATTATTAATTAGCCAGCTATTATCATAGCTAACAGTATATATAATGCATTTATTCAGCTGATCATAAAATGCCATGAAGTGCACTTCTCTGCTGGGTGTTTATTTAAGCCTGTCCTTTGGAGGTCAGGCTCCTCAGTACTGGATGGTTTGGGAAACACTGTTATTGTAAAGGGTCGTGGTTTGCACAGTTGCTGTGCTGAAGAGCCCTGGTTGGTTTGTACCTGCTGCCTGTTCACACCTTTTAAATGTCTGCTCGACCTGAATTGTGCCATTTGGTTACATACAGTAAAGAGTCTGTTTGGATTTCATAAACCCAGAACAGTGTTTGATTCCTTTGATCCTGATGGATCAGAAATTAACAGTTAGAACCACTGATGGTTATCAGAAGCATCTGACTTAAAAATGTGATTTTTAAGCCAGCTTTTAATTCTCTTCCTTGCTTTAATCCTTTGGTGATACCGCATCTTGAAATAGAATCTAAAAGCAATCTTCCGAGTTGCTTCCAAGTAGATTGTGTTTGGGCAAACAGCATTAAACTTGCCATGTTTGCCCAGCCCATTGTGTGCTTCCAGCGTGCAGGGCAGGGTAGCAGGGAGTTAATTCTCCCTCGTGAGTTCAGAGCAAGAAATTGTTCCTGACATAGCCCAGTAGTTTTGAATTTCCTGACTTTGGGGACTGAGGCAGCTCTTTGATGCTAATGAAACATTACAGTAATGGGGAAGTTTGGATTAACTCCTATTTATGAAAGGGTCACTAGGACAGAATCTAAAGAAGATAAAATGGAGGGGTGGCGGGGGGGTGTGTGTCCTTATGGTGCTCTCCCTGGAGTAGGTTTACTATTGGTGTTTACTCCAGGATCTCAGAGTTTCCTTTCCAAATGTAAATTGCATTCCAAACCAAGAGGGCTCTTTCTTCTTAAATCTTCTGTCTGGGACGTGTTTGAAAGCTGCCAACTGGCAAAGGGTTAATGATCTGTCCTGTTGGGAAGTGAATTTGAATGGGTTATCATTAAATTCTTATAAAAAATTGATTTCCTTGGAGAATGATTTCATCAAACATTTATATAACCCAGAAAAGGGATGGGGAGACTGAGACGTTTATGAATGTGGTACGCTGGCCTCTGAAAAACGTTCAAGTGGGGGAGTGGGCTGAGAAATGTTTTCTGTCACATGAAGCCAAATGTTTCAGTAACATAAAGCCAAAAGCTTTCGTGTGTTCATAGAATCCCAGCCTGGGTTGAAGGGATCTTACAGCTCCTCCAGCTCCAACCCCTGCCACAGGCAGGGACCCCTTCCACTGGAGCAGCTTGCTCCAAGCCCCTGTGTCCAACCTGGCCTTGAGCACTGCCAGGGATGGGGCAGCCACAGCTTCTCTGGGCACCCTGTGCCAGCGCCTCAGCACCCTCACAGGGAAGAGCTTCTGCCTAAGAGCTCAGCTCAGTCTCCCCTCGGGCAGGTTCAAGCCATTCCCCTTGCCCTGTCCCTAAAGGCCCTTGTCCAAAGCCTCTCTCCAAGGTTTCTTGGCTTAATGTAGTCCTGCTGCCTGGCAAGGTGGTATGTCAAACATGAAGTCCCATTTGACTTCCCAGTCCCACCAGTCACCTCCCCTTGTGCAGTGGATCAGCTTTGCCTCTTACGCAGATGTGTGCTGGAGGAGGGCGAGCACAGGGAGGACAAACTGCTCGCCCTGGGTGAGTGGCAATGGTCCAGCCCACAGTAGGAGGGGAAGAGAAGCCACTGCTCCTGTTAGATCTGAACTGATCCTGATCCTCTCTGGACTGTTGATCCATCTCAGTCTGGCTTTCTCCACATTACTGCAGAGAGCAGCACTGTGATGTGCATGCAGAAGAGCGGCTGTTGATCCAAGCCTGCCTCCACACGTGCACATTCTCAATCAGGCATCTTTTGTTGCTGGGGCTTTTTTGGGGCTGGTTTTTGTTCTTTCTGATTGAATATAATATCCTTTAATTCTCTGCCACTAGCCTAACCAGCAACTGCAGCTCTTTTTACCACCTGCCACAGCTGGTTGGCACAGGAGCCAGGCATCGAGCAGCATGTGGTGACAGCAATTCTGAGCAGGCAGGGAATGGTCTTCTCCCTCCCTCTTTCCTCCCCTTCCTTTTCTTTTTGCGTTTGCACACAATGACAGTAATGAGACCCAAATGATGGGCGAGGAGGAGATTTCATGTGAATTTTGCTTACAGAGCAGTGCAGCAATCAAGCAGATGGTCGCTTTCTTTCCTGTTGGATTGTCTCCTAGTGTATGTCATCTTGCTTGTAACTCCAAGAAGGTGGGCTCCTTGCTTGCTCCCTTTATTGGATGTCTGAAGAATTCAGGCTGGTTCTGATCCTAATGAAAAGCTCCCATCTGAAACGTGAAGGATTGGCTGCGCAGCCACAGTGGGGATGAAGCTCCTGGATTGTCTTCCAGTGACATCATCCTCGTGTCACAGCCAGGAAATTCTTGACCACGGCCACTTTCTGCTCGAGAGTTTTGCTCTTCTGTTTCACCCCAGCAATGAAGTCATCGCAGCCGCCTGCTCCTTGCTTTCTGGATGACTCTGCTCTTTATGCCTGTGATGTCCAGGTCATGGGCTTGCTGTGTGAAGTACACTGAATTAAGCAGCTTTCTGTTTCTTGGGTAGAAGTATTTAGATGCAGATCGACTTCTGCAGATGATCCAAACCCTGTGGCGTGTTACTACAGATGGACTTTAGTGCCTTGCTTTCCTCTTACTTGGAATAATTTTGTGTAAGGATTTTGGATTATGTTCAGTGGGAATCAATGCCCCTAAAGTAAGGGTAGAATTTAAAGAAATAGGCTGCCGTGTTGTTGAACATACCCACTTCCAGGGTGCTTTTGTTTAACACCATGAAATGAAGTCTTTACTACTCTGTGACTGCAAACTGTTGTAAGTTTAAGCTGTTCTTGTCTTGGCACTAATTATAACATCACGTTGACATCTGGTGTGGGATTATAGACTGAAAGTTCTGTTTAGGGCCTGCTCTTAGGACCCCCAGTCAAAGTGCTCTGCAGTCAGTGAGACATGTGGGACCTTGCTGGTACCCAGATGATAAAACATCCACAACTTGCTATCCTTTTAGATAACTTCTGGCTTCAGAAGCTTTTTAATACCCATTGCAGGATTTCTTTGCTTATTCATATGGAATTGTGTGTGTTTTTCCAGCAGTGCTGTGACCTGGGATACCATGCTAGCCTCAACAGAGCCCTCAGGACGTTCTTGTCTGCTGAGCTAAACCTGGAGCAGTCAAAGCACGAGGGTCTGGATGCCATAGAAAACGCCGTGGAGAACCTGGATGCCAACAGTGATAAGCAGCGCCTGATGGAGATGTACAACAACGTCTTCTGTCCACCCATGAAGTTCGAGTTTCAGCCACACATGGGTGACATGGTCAGTTTATAGTCCTCCTCCAGCTCTAGCTCTGTGAACACTTCCACCTCTGCCTGTTTACTGCCCTTGTCTTTGATAGATAGGATAACTGCAAGGCCACCTGCTTGGCCCTGTTTTGAGGAGGATGAGAGAAGCTTTAGGTGATGTAAAGATTAAGCAGAGGCCTCTGGCACAGATGTCAGAATATGGCTCTTACTTTCTGACTATCAAAGCTACTGAAGCTGAAAATGCTTCATTGTTATACCTTCATGAAGTATAATACTACGTGTGGATAGGAAACAGTTTTACCCTCTCATTCAACCCACAAGATTACCCCTTCACCCCAGGACAAACTGAAGTTTGAGATTTGAAGGGGCAACAAGAAACTTAAATGCTGGTTTTGGGAAGGATTTGAGTGTGGAATTGTAGAGTAGAAAAGATTTACAATGGTGCTTTGTGCATCTTCCCCGTGAGACAAAGCCGTCGGAGGATTTTAGGTTTGGCAATGGAAATCTCTCTTTTTAGGTTTATCAAGATGTGGTTACTCATCTGGGAGCTGTTTAAAGTCACACAAGCTGAAACTAGTTCTAAATGGGAACACATGTGCAATGCAGTAATTTAGGTCAATTGGTTGGATTTCTGGATTTGCCTCCTGAACATGGAGGAAACACTGTCAGGTCTCTTGCAGCCAACCTCTTCTGGGCTAAGAATTATCATCACTGCTTAAGGCTCCTCTTTGTCCCTTCCCCCTTAAGCAAAACCTTCAGACTGCAAATGACCTCTCTCAGTTGTTCTGTGATTTGGAAGTATCCTGGAAGATCCTGGGAAGCAAAAGCATCACCTGCAGGCTGTCATGCACTTTAACAGCTCCCATTCACTGGGTCATTTATCTTGGCTCTTCTCAAGGCCAAGTGAGGGTTTATCAGTGCAGCCTGATGGCCTTGGTGCAATGGTCCTGCATATACCAGATTGAGTATGTGATGTTGTGTGATAAAACTCCAATTTCTGCCTTTAAAAAATAGCTTTCTGCATGAATTGTGCCTGTTGCTGCAGTGTACAGGTGGTTGAGCTGAGCCCGCCCCAGGCTGCCTGGTTAATGCATTGAACCATGTTCTTCCTGATGTGCAGTGGGATTTAGCCTAATATCTGTAATAAAGCACGTCAGGCTTCCAAAACACATGACAAGCTTATACAACTGTGAGTAGCTAATATCTTCTACTACTTCCTTGATGTTCACATTCTCTCTTGCTCCCTTTTCGGCACAGTCAGGAAGGGAAGTGCTATTTTTGAACACGGACCTTTTCCACTGGTTGAAATCCAGGGCTGCAGAGTTTTAAATGAAGCACTTTGGGAGCTGTTTGCTTCTAATAACTGAATGAAGTAACTGCAGTGTTCCTGATTATGTGTTTCTTCCCCCTAGCACTCTAAAAGCAGTCCTCTTTCTCTTCCAGGAGTCGCAGCTATGTGCCCAGCAACCAGTCCAGGGGGAGTTAGTGCAGAGGTGCCAGCAATTGCAGTCTAGATTATCGACGCTTAAGATTGAAAATGAAGAGGTGAGCTAATGAACCACAGATCAACAACCCTCTTACCACTTCCAGTGGGGAGTGGGGGCTGGGGAAGGAACAACCTTACTTATGGCACTCAGGATGTGAAACCAGTAATACCTGTTTGTTAGTAGAACCATAAAATGGTTTGGGTTGGAAGGGACCTTACAAGTTCACCCAGTCCCAACCCTCTGCCATGGGCAGGGACCCCTTCCACTGGAGCAGCTTGCTCCAAGCCCCTGTGTCCAACCTGGCCTTGAGCACTGCCAGGGATGGGGCAGCCACAGCTTCTCTGGGCACCCTGTGCCAGCGCCTCAGCACCCTCACAGGGAAGAGCTTCTGCCTAAGAGCTCAGCTCAGTCTCCCCTCGGGCAGGTTCAAGCCATTCCCCTTGGCCTGTCCCTGCAGGCCCTTGTCCAAAGCCCCTCTGCAGGTTTCTTGTAGCACCTTTAGGCACTGGAGCTGCCCTTAAGGAGTGTTTTCTTCTCCAGCCTGAACCAGCCCAGGTCTCTCAGCTGCTCCAGCCCTTGCAGCATCTAGTAAAACACTTACAACCTCTGTGTTTTCTTGCAACACCCTCTCCTCATTTTTTATGTACTCTGATTCCTGCTGGCCAGGTGAAGAAGACCATGGAAGCTACGCTCCAGACCATCCAGGATATAGTCACGATAGAGGACTTTGATGTCTCGGACTGCTTTCAGTACAGCAACTCCATGGAGTCTGTGAAATCCACCGTCTCGGAAACATTCATGAGCAAACCCAGCATTGCCAAGAGACGGGCCAACCAGCAGGAGACAGAGCAGTTCTACTTCACAGTAAGGAGTTAATTTGCAGTACGAGCACGTGTAATGTATTTAGAATTGCACTCGCAAGAGAGTGCAAACTGATGCTATCGCCTTGCAAAAATGCTGCTGCGATTGATTTTTGGACAATCTTAGGGTTTAAAAGCGGGTGCTTTGAATTCTTGACAAATAAACAGGGATCCCTTTGTTGATGCAAACTTAGGCTGGGGATAAATTGTGTAAAATTTGATTTCTCCTGCATCTGAAAGGATTTATGTGAGGGAGAGCTCAATAGCTTGTAAATATCAATTTCAGGAATAATACAAACTAAAGGAATGTTGAGCTTTTTCATTTTTTGTTGTTACCATCTTACAGTTTCAGCTCACATCAGCTTTTAATTGAGTCAATGCCTTTTTACAAGATGCTAAGAGCTTTTTAGATTGAATTTCATAACAGACTCTGTGTTTTTTATGCCTAAATTAGATTGATGTTGAACTGTTGAATTCATTTCCATTTAAAAGATGTTTCAAACGAGCAGATGAAAATCATACCTCTTACCCTGGTTACTTCGTCATTCCTTTGGGCATCTTTTGCTGTATTTAATGCCCTTTACATTCCTCTTCCAAGAATGGTGTTAGTTATTAGAAGCCTGAAGTTTCTGTGCAGATTAAACTCGCTGGCAGCATGGTTCCTGTCAGGCTTTGACTTAAATAAATGAAAAAGCCTCTGTAGAAGGTGAAGCTGGTTATTGAAACTGTGCTGAATGGAGCTGGCCATGGAAGCCCTCTCTAACCAGCTTAATCAGATGCTTGGTTGATTGATCTACTGCCCTTTATTAGGATTTCAAGCTTTGAATCTATAAGAAGCAGGTTGTGCAGTGATCTGGGCGAGGCATTCTTTGTGTAGGGGGAAAAGCAAAGTGTAGTGCAGAACAGGGATTTAAATCCCCTCATACCTTATGATGTGCTAAATGGTGAGGGATAAGAATGGAAAGGAAAATACTAGTTTGAAAGAATATTCCATATTAGTGTGTACTGCATTGCTAGCAAGGCAGAGCTCTTAGGTAAAGATAGTGATGCCACCATGGGGATTGAATTGAAGGAGTACTGCCTGTAGTATCTCTATGCTAGTATAATCTGTATTTTCACCAGAGGCATGTCACTGCACGATGGTGCTGAGATTGCTCTGTTGTTAAGGCTTTGAAGGAAGATTTGTATTCAGAATAGAAGCTTAAACTTCCCTGTGTCAGTGAAAGGCATAGGAATGATGACTGACTTAGCACCGAGCTAATGCAGACAGCTGAAGCAAGGAGGTGACAGCGACTCTGGGGAGGCAAAGCTGGGGATGTGGCCTGGGTACCACTGCTGTGAAACTGGAGCCAGCATGAGGCTGTGATGGGTGTGGGAGGGGGCATAGAATGGATGGGAAGGGACCTTAAAGCTCCTCCAGCTCCAACCCCTGGCCACGGCCAGGGACCCCTTCCACTGGAGCAGCTTGCTCCAAGCCCCTGTGTCCAACCTGGCCCTGAGCACTGCCAGGGATGGGGCAGCCAGAGCTTCTCTCACCAGCGCCTCAGCACCCTCACAGGGAAGAGCTTCTGCCCAAGACCTTACCTGAACTTCCCTGTTTAACAGTCTGGTTTGTGTTTGGCTTCATTATATATGCCACCTGATCAGGGGTTCCCACTGCAAAACTACTGCAGTAGGTTTGGACTCAGAGAGGATGCCAAAGTTGCGTGGCTGTGAGGAGCTGGTAGGTGCCAAATGCTCAGTTTCTAACAACACCCCTTCCCCTCTTCATTTTTACACCACCAAAATAATATGATTTGAGGATATTTCTGCTGCTTTGCATCTGATTGTGCTTAGTCTGGCTCCAGCTGTGCTCTGCTAGAAATTAAATCCTTAGGAGTTCTCCTGGAGTTTGATTATTTTCTTGCTTTTTTTACTGTTTTTATTAAGCCAGAAATCAAAAGCTAATGGCTCTTTAATTCACTGAAAACAGCCTGAAGCCTTATTTTAAAATGAGGGGGTTTTATTCATAAGCATACTTGTAACAGGCAGGGTACAGAATGTTAGGCATGAGGAAACAGAATGCATGAAATGCTGCACTGAGGGCTAGGAGCCTTCTCTTCTGCTCCCTTCCAACAATCCCTGGTACCCATCTGCAGGCAGGCAATGGTCTTCACATGACCACTACTGATGCCTCAGAGCCAGAGCGATCAGCCTGAGGATGGGCGAGTGCCAGAGCGTGCTCCATTTAACTGATGGAGCCAAGCGTGGAGCTGGGGTTTGGGGAGCAGATTCTGCAGGGAAATGTCAAGGAATATGGTTAGGTTTTTTTGCCACAGTGTTCATGTTTCCTGTTCTCTTCTAAAACAACACAGAAAGTTGAATTATTAACTATAGGAAGCAGTAACTGTAGGAAGTGCTGAGACGCTCCAAAGGGACTTCATTCTTGTGACATTTTTCTTCCAGTGTTGCCAACCAAAGGGACATAAAACACAGACTTTGGCAGTTCATTAAAGACCCAACGCAGACATTTTTGTCAGTGCACACGACTGCTGGAGAAGCTCGTGCTGGACGCTTCCTTAGTTCCTGGAAGGTTCCTCCCACCCTCAGTGCTGCTGCTGGATATCAGAGAATCCCAGCCTGGTTTGGGTTGAAGGGAGCTTAAAGCTCCTCCAGCTCCAACCCCTGCCACGGGCAGGGACCCCTTCCACTGGAGCAGCTCCAAGCCCTGTGTCCAACCTGGCCTTGAGCACTGACTGGGATGGGGCAGCCACAGCTTCTCTGGGCACCCTGTGCCAGCGCCTCAGCACCCTCACAGGGAAGAGCTTCTGCCTAAGAGCTCAGCTCAGTCTCCCCTCGGGCAGGTTCAAGCCATTCCCCTTGGCCTGTCCCTACAGGCCCTTGTCCCAAGCCCCTCTGCAGGTTTCTTGTAGCCCCTTTAGGCACTGGAGCTGCTCTAAGGTCTCCCTGGTGCATTTTCCTCTTGAGGTTGAGCAACCCCAGCACTATGTCTATGTGTGTCTTCCATCACAGTTCTTCACATCTTGCATGGTGGCTGCTGTTGTTAAGACCTGCATAGGACAAGCAGGGTCCAGGCACTCTCACTGCTAAAATACTGTTCTTCACCTCAGTCTGATTTGGCTATACTGGAGCAGAACCCAAAGAAAGTGGATGGATTTGGGGAAGGATGAAGACAAGAACTGGGACATTTCACTATTAAATGTGAATCCTTTCTTTGTGTTCATTTTGCTAGCTGAACGTTTCCAATAGCACAGGCCGTTCGTTAGTATCAGGAGCTATTTGAAGAGTTCTGCTCTATGTATGTAAACGTGTCCTAATTATAATGTGGACAGCTACTGTACAGCAGTGTTTTATGCACTGCAGCACCCTGGAGATAAATAATGCTGTTCTGAGCTGCAAAACAAGAGATGAAAGAGCTGTAAAAAAAAAAGCACCCCAAGCAATTGCAGAGCTGTGAAAAACCAGAAAGCAGGAGGGGGGGAAATGACTGCATGGCTGTGTAATGTTGCACCAGAGAACAAATCTGAACCTCAATAATATCTGTATTTGTTTTGTCCCGTGCCCCCCCTGCAACCCTGGGTATCATCCAGCGGGGAGGCAGACGCGCTGTTTGACAAGTAAAGTGGGGTGAGGGAGGTTAAGTGAGAGAAGCAGCACAGTAGCAGCCTTTTAGTTTGTTAAAACAGATTGTTCATTCACTGCCCGTGACGCGCGAGGGAAGTGCATTCCCATTCCGCCCTGTCTGCAGGGGAGAGGCATGACAGCTTCTGGGATGGCTTGAAAAGATGCCAAGCATGCAGCTGATTCCACAGTGAAACAATAGGAATTGCAGCGCAGATCTGGATGGACTGAACTCCAGGTTTGCTGGAGAACCCAGGAGGACTTGGTTCATCCTCTGTGCCCTAAATGTCAGCGTAATTCATAGGATCATAGAATCACAGAATGGTTTGGGTTGGAAGGGACCTTAAAGCTCCTCCAGTTCCACGGGCAGGGACCCCTTCCACTGGAGCAGCTTGCTCCAAGCCCCTGTGTCCAACCTGGCCTTGAGCACTGCCAGGGATGGGGCAGCCACAGCTTCTCTGGGCACCCTGTGCCAGCGCCTCAGCACCCTCACAGGGAAGAGCTTCCTTGCATCTAACATAAATCTCCCCTGCTTGAACCCATCCCCTTATCCTATTGCTTCAGTCCTGATGAAGTGTCCCCTCCAGCATCCTTTTAAGCCCCTCTTCAGCTATTGGAAGGCTGCTATGAGGTCTCCACTTTACAGCTATGAGCTCTTCATTCTCTCTTCAGCATCATGTTCAGAATCCAGTAACCTAAAATGCAATCAAAGTAATTAATTTTCCACTCACAATCTTGGTTTTTTTTTCCACTTCCACAGAAAATGAAGGAGTATCTGGAGGGCAGGAACCTGATAACGAAGCTCCAAGCCAAACACGACCTTCTTCAGAAGACCCTGGGAGAAAGTGAGTCCTGGCAGTGCTCATCACTGCTAGTAGCCAGGCTATCGCACTTACCCAGTTAGAGAGCTGAGTGCAGTGGGCTTGGATGTCTGATGCAAAGTGGCCATACTCATGGTTTCTGAATTTATCTTTCTGCTCTGCATGCTGGAGAAGCCAAATGATCTCTGTGGCTGTTGGATTAGTGGTGCACAGAAAATGCTTAATGAATCACTAATGGATAAGATGAAGCACACACACACAGAGCCCCCCGTTCATCTTGTCCTCTCCCTGTACACGTGTGTGTTCTGCTTCTCACTTCATGATCTGTATCAGGGTAAACCTTGACATTTACAGTTTACTGCTGGTTGAGCAGTATTGCCTTGTTAGCCTGGGCAGAAGTTCTATTTGCATGGTAGTTCAGCTGCTTCTCACCTCTGTGGCTTCACTCCAGACCAAACCAGTGCATGTGAGCCCAGGCTTTTATTAGAAGACTCAAGCACATTTCAGAGCATGTCAAATATGTTGCCTATCCAGAGGGCATTAGTCAAGGGGCAGCAGCCAGAACTGACTATGCATTTGCTGTTAGTGTCAGAACAAAGGCAGATTTCTTCCCCTTCATGGTATGGGCAGATCCTGTTGGCCGTACACACTTAAACTATGCATCCAAGTTTCCATAGAAACCTGCCTGCCTCCTATTTACAGAGAAGGTTTTAACAGTCTAAATGTCAGGTCAAAAGAGGGCTCAACTCATTCCTGGGTTGATGGGCTGGAGTGGAGCTCGTGTTTTGAGCTGGAATTTAACTGGACTCCCCAAGGTTTACGGTGTGCAAATCTTCTGAATGAAAACTTAAACAGCATGTGGCCTTTGAAGTGCTTTGCTTTCCCTTTAAAAATGCACTATAAAACCTGCAGTACTTATTGCTGCAGTAATTAAGAGTTTCGTGTTTATCAGACCAAAAGCACAAGGTAAGGGAAAGATGTTGGCATCATTTTGAGCTTTACTGTTTAAAGCTGCTCGTCTCTTCAGCTGTAGAAAGGGTGGTTGAAGCCAAAGATCTGTGTCCTTAGGGTATTTTGCTTTTGCTTCTAAATATCTCCCAAGTGACACCCTTGCTGCCCTGTGACTAATCACATTCCTGGATCATAGCTGACCTCTGCATACCAAGCCCTGTTTCCTCTTAACCTGCCTGCCCTTTGAACCCATCTCAAGCTGTGGTGGGGGAAAAGAAGAGGAAATTAAATGTGATTCCTGTATTGCTATGCAGATTTGAAGGTTGCTTCTGTTTTCTCGTGGCTGCTTTGCAAATCACAGCTTCCTCAGTCCCCCTGTGAAGGGACCAGTCAGGGAGAGCTCACGTTGCCATCTGTGAGATCAGAGAGAGGTACATTACAGCTCCAAGCCCACATTAGCAGGTTAATGGTACAAACTAGGGACCATGCCTAGACTTATCCATAAAATGTCCCTTAATTGGGAAATGGACAAATAAAATTCCTTTCACAAGTCCCCGGAGCATGATTAGAACCTTTAATGAAAAATGAGCTGCGTGTCCTCAGTCCCTGTAAAATGCATGGGTTTCTTCTAATTCTTCTTCCTCTTTGGCCCATCCTCAGGTGACGTTTATTAGTCCTCTTGCAAATTACCTCAATCTAAAGATGACAAGTTCCAGTAATAAAAATAGCAGCAAGTCTTCCTAGCTACAAGTAATTATGTCCCTGCCTACTGTACACATTCGTCACCCTTCCGTAGGAGCCTCTTGCTGTTGCTGTAGCCATGTCATTTTTATACATGAATATTCTATGATAGGAATGGGACAGGTGGCTGGAAATGCTGCTTTGGAATAACATTTTCCTGTCAATTATGCACTGTTTTGGCTCTAGGTGGGGAGAGGAAAGTGGCCATCAAGATGTGTGCAGCTAATTGTCAGCCATCAGCAATTAGATGTTGCCCTCGTTCATTCTTCCAGCTCCCCAGGAGCAGGAAGGCAGCCGTAGGGAAGGGGGGGGTTTAAGCTGTTGTAAATCAGTGTGGTTTCACTGATGATGATCTACACCAGCAGAAGGCCTTGCCTGGACAGTTCCCAATAGCACAAGTTTTCTGGGTCTCTTTCCCTGTGCTGTTACTAAAATGCTGCTGCATTAACAGGAGCCCTTAGCATGGGGGTGGGCTTCTGTGCTGTCCCCCATACTGCTCCTGCAGGGAGCAACCCTGTCCAGCTCCCCAGAGATGCTTCCTCCCTTTCAAATGGCTTTTCTCCTCCATCTCCAATGGCTTTTCTCCTCCATCTCCAATGGATTTTCTTCTCCATCTCCTCCCAAACCTGGCTTTACAAAGCTGTTGAAAGTGTTTTTTCCATTCCTAATACTGTGTTTCTTTGTCTTCTTACCAGGTCAGCGGACTGACTGCTCCCTTGCCAGGTAGGTGTGGCTCAGGGGATGATGTTTTAAGGCCGAACTGCCATTCTAGATCTATTACCAGCCCAGGATCTGTATCTGGTGGTTAAAAATACTTATTTAGTTAATATATAAGCAAGTCCCTGCAAGTTCATACAGCTTTGAATACCATCACAATTACCTGCATCAGTGAAAGGTAGTGCTGCAGCTTATGGATCTCTTTAGTAAGCTCTGGTGGGGTGAGTAAGGACTATGTTTTTTGATGCAGAACTTGCTTAAGCACCTCCCCTTGCTTGTTGGGGCCCTGGGTTGCCATCTCCATGGCCTCCTCTGGACTGGCTTTAGCAGATCCACATCCCTAAACAAGCTGGAAAGCTCTTCATCCCCTTGACACTGTCTGGATTGTAGCACTGTAGAGGTTGTGGAGAATGAGCTTTTTGTTTATAATTAGCTCTAATCACAGAACCATAACCAAGCTTCTCCTCATGGGCTTTTGCTAAAACATAACGAATCTCCATCTCCGAATTGATGGATTCCAGGGCACAAGCAGGGGCTGTGCATCATCCTGCCTGGTTAACAAAAGGAAGGTGATTGCTACCGATCTGGAGTCATTACTACTTTTCACATTCCTTCCAGCAAAGCAAAGCTGACAGGGCCTAATTAGAGCCTGACATCTGTAATAATAAAATATTATTCATCATGAAACACTTTTAAATAGCACAGAATCATTACTGCTAATAGCTTAAAAGAGACCTTATTGTCGGTGACAGCCCATGGAGTCGCATTTCTTTCTCTTCATTCAGGTTTTGATTGGGATAAAAGGAATTTCCTCTGTATTAATACACTGTACAGCCTTTGAAAAAATCACACTTCTCATCAACTGATTTAGAATTCAGCAGCCATTTACCCAAGCAGGGAATTGGCTTCAGTGCTACAATAGGGCCTCTCTCCTATTATCCCTCATGCTTCATTTTTACAGGCTACTATAGGAGCTTTCAACCCCATTAATCGATTTGGAGGGAAGAATCCTGGCCAAGCAAGGCTTATTTTCCCTATTTTCTACAATTAATGTCTACCCACAAAAATAAATGAGACCATGATGACTTAGCCTGGTTGGTGTGTGCTGGGTTTGAGGGTTCCCCAGCGGAAGCTGTTAGCAGCACTGTAGGAACCAGCCTGCTCCCACCTGCTTCTCCCCTCCATGGAGCAGCTCTTTCAGAGCACAGCTCTGAGCAATTGGTAACAAACTTCATCTTCAACCAGGAGCCCTATAGGACAGATTTCCATGTGGTTGGAATTAGAATGTCAAGGGTAATCTTTTGTCAAAGCAGTGGACTCCCTGATGCCTATTCCAGGTTTTTAGTGATAGAAAGTTACTTAAAACCTGTCTGAAGTGCCGTGAATTGAATGAGACTAAGTCCCTGTGGTTGACCTGTCTGGCTGGCTCCTTCCCTCCTCCAAAATGCGTGTGGTCTGGAATTCCAGCCGGATGGACAGGCATGGTAGAGGATTATCTTGACTTTTCTCTTCTGTTTTTCCCTCCTGCACCCATGGGCGGTTCGGCTCTCCCCAGCGGCAGGCGCAGCTCCACCATAAGGAAGCAGGTAACAAGCATTTCCCAAGTAACCAAGCAGGGATGTGTGTGCAGGGGAGGACAGAGGGAAAGCAAGCAAGCGCTTTTTATCCTTCCTCCCTCTCTTACATGAATCATGGACTCATGGAATGGTTTGTGTTGGAAGGGAGCTTGAAGCTCCTCCAGCTCCAACCCCTGCCACGGGCAGGGACCCCTTCCACTGGAGCAGCTTGCTCCAAGCCCCTGTGTCCAACCTGGCCTTGAGCACTGCCAGGGATGGGGCAGCCACAGCTTCTCTGGGCACCCTGTGCCAGCGCCTCAGCACCCTCACAGGGAAGAGCTTCTGCCTAAGAGCTCAGCTCAGTCTCCCCTCGGGCAGGTTCAAGCCATTCCCCCCTCTAGTAAGAAGCACTTAAGGCAGGGATGCTTTGTTTCCCTGGCTGTGGTGGATAATCTGTTACTCTTTAGTACCTGATGAGCTCAAATGTGTTTCTTTGAGATAGGGGAAAAAAACCCCAAAGGATTTCTTGTTAATACTGTAAAGATAAAATTTGGCTTGGAATTTTCTTTCATACAGTCTGTCTTGGGGGACTGCTTTGTACTCTTTAGGCTCTTTGTACACTGGAAATGAAGTAAGGGAGCACGTTGCAGTTTTGATGTGCAGAGTCAGACCTTTCTCATTTATTAAGCTTAATTATTGTCCCTAATTGCTCTAAAATGGTCCTTACCTATGCTGAAAATGAATCCTGTGTGTGCTGTGATTGCCATTTTCACAGGTAGCTTTTGAGGTGTCTCAGGAGCATATTCTGCCTCTGGTTTGGAAACCTGAATTAAGAAGTGATGTGTTTGCAAACCCTGAACCCATAGATCGCAGTAGCTTAAGGGGGATTAGTGGGGTTTTGGGATTGGCTCCTAACATTTAGAACTGCTTGGAGAGGTTTAATCTCTGCTGGGGACCCAGAATATGTGATTCTCTGTGAGTTCCTACTACAGGAACGGACACTTCAAGTGTTAATCACATGGTAATTTTACTCACTGGCATCTGACCTTAAGCAGACTGCAGCACTTTGGTTGCTCAGTTGCTGTTCCCCACAATGGGAGGAATAACTGCAGCCACTGCAGAAATTCAGTTGTCTGGGAAGTAATCTGTGAAGCAGAGACCAGCAAAGTGTAAAGGCTCATTTCCATCCTGAATGTTGTATTAGCTGGAAACGGGCCATCTAGAAGATGTTACTGCGCCGGGGCCTTGAACTGACAACTGTTTGCTGTGAGCAAGGACCTTATTGAATGGGTTGTGACTGCAGTCACTGCTGGGCTATTCACTAAACACATCTGGAACGGCCTGGAAGCAGAAGGTGGCAAATGAGAGGATGATTTTGCTTTCCATTCTTCTTCTTTTCTCCACGTTTACCCCTGCTCTGTGCTCTGACTGCTCTTGTTTAAATCCCTCTCTGCAGGATTCCTCACAAGCCATTCCCCTGGTCGTGGAGAGCTGCATACGGTTCATTAGCAGACACGGTGAGTTCATGGACAAAGGGGATCCTTGCAAATGTTCTTCTTCCAGCAATATCCCTTTGCTTCTTGTAAAATAAGGTTCCCAGCCTTAGATACCACTCGTGCCTCACCACTGCTCACCTTGCTCTGAGCCCTGAAGTGTGGCCTTCAGCACCAACCATCAATGCTTTTCCTAGAGGAGGAGGAACATATTGCAGGAGGTCAAGTAGTGAATTAATTGCTGGCTCATTGCCACAATGAGATGATTTATACCTGTTTCCAAGGTTAACTTCACAGCCGTGGATGCATAAAGATTTTATATGTTTATTGTAATTTGCTTTCATTTTTAATTGGTATAATTTGTTAGGAGCATGGAAATCATCTGTGAATTAACGTATGTAGAAAGAGATGGAATTTATCTTCATTAACCACAACAGAGTCAGGTGGTGGGTCCCATTTCATTTTTCTTGTTTAATTAGCAGATTAGAAACTCTGATCTTGAATCCCATTCTCATCATCTTTACCTTAATCCTTCATTAAGGCCAAACTTGGACATTAGCTGGGAAAATCATTGAAACCACATTGCAGTGAGAACTGCGCATGATAAATGGGGCACATAGGATCATCTAGGTTGGAAAAGACTTTTAAGATCATTAAGTTCAACCTTTACCCCAGGACTGCCAAAGGCCACCACTAAACCAGGTCACTGAGGGCCTCCATCTATACATCAGGAGGTTTAGACTCTTATTCCTGGGTTAACTTAGTTGAGTGTGTGGGAAAATCTGTCCCATTCCTGTGCTGAGCGTCAGATCATGGCACAAAGGTGCAGTCTGCACTTAGAAGGGATGTGATTTTTATACCACAAGCCCATGTTAGGCTGCCTGACGCACGCACGCTGCGGGAAGGAGCATTGTTGGAGGTAGCCTGACTGACATTTGCAGTGTGTCGCTGTGTAGGTGTGGGATGAATGTCATTTTCCTTCTTGCTTCCCTGCACTTGGGATTGTTTCTCTGTTGAGAGCAGCGTGTCGCAGCTGCCTCCTTCATAACTGGGGGTTCTGATGTTGCTAATGCTTCCTTTTTAGCAGGAGTGGCTTAAAGACTCCCCTCAAAGCCCAGATAGGAGGTCAGGCTGGGGTAATTAAATGCTTTTGTTTCAAGTAGCTGATTTGCTCTGGGCCTTTGCAAAATAAGGTGCTTCCTTGTGTAGTTGGCTGTATTTTACCTCTGGCTGATGCACTGTTAGTTTATGACTTTCTGTGGGTTGTAAAATCCTTTGGGGAGCCTTCAGGGCAGGAGATAACACACATTTAGCTGTTGGAACCCGGGTCCTCTGTCAGGTTACAAAGAAGGGTTAATGTGTTTTCTCTATATGCCGAGTTCTATTTTTACATATTCTGAACGTGCCCGGACATACAAGGAAAATACAGTGGGTTTTTTGCCTGTGTTACTTATGTTTCCTTTCTCATCTAGGTTAATAGCTGTGAAGGTGCCAGCTTATCTTATCTTACTGTTATCAACATCTCGTCTTATAGGTTTGCAGCATGAAGGAATATTCCGAGTGTCTGGGTCACAAGTTGAAGTGAATGACATAAAAAATGCATTTGAGAGAGGTAAGGAAGATCTGTTCCAATATCTGGGAAGTTATTGCCAAATGTATGAATTTCTCCTAAAAAGGCCTGGTTTGAATGCAGCTTGTGAGATTTGGTTCCTTTGATTCTTGTGTTTCCTAAGTGAGCCCAGCCCAAACATTAACCTTGAACACTCACTTGTTTGGCATTATGCTTTATATCTTGTAGAGTGTCTGTATAATAAATGCTCTGAATTCAATCTTCTCTGGTGTCTGATAGCTTATTGATTATTTGTAACATGAAAGGATATAGAGAATTTCATTATCGGGTGTAACTGCATTTCCCTACCCTCTCCCCCTGTTCTCTGCAATCAGGCTGGCTGCTGGAGGGGGGAATTCCATGTTTTCTGTGTTACTGAGGCACAGCTAAGCTACATTTATTCTAAATGTCAGCAAGGGAGAGAGTACATTTCAAGACACAGTTAACTTGACACAGCTTTTAATAGATCGCATTTAGGATGTGAAGAACCATGCCCTACACAGGCAGGGAATAGCTGGGAGCCTCCAGACCCATCAGTTTCTGGCTGGGCAGCTTCAAGGGACTGGATCCTCAGGCAGTCCTCACAGCCTGCCTCCCCAGCCCTCCCTGGGTCACTGGAAACATCAGGACTTGTGTCAGTTCCCCAGATACATCACTAAAAGAAGAGCGTTAGTGTATTCTGTGCTTGAGAGACAGGTTTTAATGAGGCATAGCAAGTTTATTTTGCTTTTAAGAAGAGAGACATTTACTGAACAGTGTGTGTGAAATGTGGCATCTCATTTCCCCCATTTTCCTCTCCATCTATCTGAGAATGACAATCCTCAAGACTAGGGAAAGCAGAGTGTCTCATAGGCTGAAGGTAAAGGGTTTCTAGCAGAATCAGACCCCTTTTCACATAAAGCCAATACCAGTCATTTTGGGAACGGAGCCAGTTGTTCCTGCGCTAACATGCAGAAATAAAAAGGTGATGTTATATTTCTTTACTTCATCTTGCTTGTCTCCATAAAGCATGTGATATACAGAAGTGACAAAGCTAACAATAATGTCTCTGCAGTTTATTACTTCAGCCAGAACCCTTGGTGGCAGTTAATATCAAGGATAATGCTCCGGTTTGTAGTAGCCCATTTATTATCCGGTGTGTTACTAAGATAATAGGCAAGCTTTGGTAATTTCAGTCACATAATGGATATATATAGCTTCAATTTGAGGATTGCCCCATCATTAAATCTAATTATATCTGATAGGGAGTTTTCCCTAGGGAACAACTCCTTAAGTGGGCATCTTTTCTTTTGTAATCCACACAAACTGTGGCATATCTGCAGCAACAAATTATCTGTCAGAAACACTCCCCCCCACCCCATCAGGTGCTTGTGGTGCAGTTGGAGTAGGTGGGATTGACTTTGTGCTGCATAAATCCTGTTCTCCAGCTGAGGTGCATCCTTCCAGTCTGGTGCTTCTCTCCACTATTCTGATTTTTCTTGCCTGCTTTTCTTTGCTTGTCACAAAGGGGAAGATCCATTGGCTGGGGACCAGAATGACCATGACATGGATTCAATAGCAGGAGTTCTGAAGCTCTATTTTCGAGGGTTGGAGCACCCTCTCTTCCCCAAGGACATCTTTCATGATCTGATTGCCTGTGTCAGTAAGTATATGAAGAGCTGAAAAGAAACAGGATTTATTTTTCTCATCTCCCACTTCTTTTTCCTCCTCTTCCCCTTTTTCCTGACTGCAGAATGAGCTTTGTGTGGTTCCTTTGGTTGGGTTTGTGTTGCAGTGGATCCTGGTCTCTGTTAGCCACAGAGTGGGCAATTACCTGCTCGCAGCCAGCCTTCCTCTCCTAGCAATTTTGCTATGAATGAGCAAGGAGATAGACATGAACAGATTTCAAGGGCTTGTCATGGATTTTTTGGGGATGCTGCTTTGTGATAGGGTTCTTTTTAAAACAGAATAAACCCAAAACCGCCACTTGTGAAAAATAACCTATGAGACCTCTCATTAGAAGGTGTCAGAAGCAGGTTTCTGGCTCTGGGTGCTTTCCTTTGTGTTATTAGATGCACGCTGCCTGTATGGCTGCTGCCATGCTGCTACATGCTGGGACCATGATGCCTCTTCAGCTGGCAAGGCAGCAGTTGTCTACCCTTGAGCTTCATACTCATGAAGGGCCATCTCTTGACTCCTGTTCAAGAACATCAGCCAGGAGGGCAGTCCCAGTCAAGTTGTTAATATTCTGGATGGTTTCACAAGGTGGTTCTGGTAGGTTTGTGGGGTTTGTCTGGGAACAGCCTCATTTTAAATGGCCTGACTATTGCCATGTCCTTCAGAATCAATGATCCTATTATCCAAGTATTATAGTGACATGGCCTTTGCGGTGGCAGCCTTTGAAGTAAAGCAGAAGATAAGTGCTTCTAAAACAGCTCATGGTTTTCTTCTCCTGATAAATGCATTTGCAGGGCTGAATTCACATTATATGAAAAGTAAAATGTGCTTCCAAATCACTTCTCCCTTCTGAGATGATTTATGCTGCCCACCTCTTTCTCAGCAGCTGCTGCACACAGAGCTTTTTGCCTCACCCTGTAGCTATGTGAATTTTCCTCTGAGTGTTGTACAGTTTCTGTTTTAAACACCCACCTTTCGGAGCTAACTTGAATGAGCTATTGTGCCATTGTTGAGATAGATGACATCCAGTGCTCCCACGCTAGGAAGGAACTTGCAGTGAAGCTCCACGTGTTGAGGAACCTTCATTGTCACAGGTTCTTTGCAGCCGGTTCTGCTGCTGAGCAGCGCTGGAGGATCTCTCATCCTACTGCTGCTCTGTTGGCTGCTCACCTAACTCCGCTGTGTAGGGCCCGTCAGAGGGTGCTGGTTGTGGTTGGACTCGGTGGCAGGCTGCAGGTAGGGTGACTCGGTGTTGCTCTTTCTCCCTTTCAGCAATGGATAATCTACAAGAGCGAGCGCTCCACATCCGGAAAGTGCTTCTGAACCTGCCGAAGACCACTCTGATTGTAATGAGATACCTCTTTGCATTCCTCAATCAGTGAGTATCCTTGGGGGCACCGTGGCCCTTGGGATAAATGGGATAAATGGCAGAACCAACCTTAACATTGCTGCAAGGTACAAATGCCACCATAGCTTGCTTTTGAATCTGCTGTCCTGGGTGTTTGAGCCTTGCCAGAATTCATCCCAGTGATATGAATGCAGTGTCAAAGAAGTTCCAGAAATGAAAGTGCAGAAAGCACAAAGCAGACCTTCCAAGCTCAGCTGTGATGATGATAGCAGATGATGATGATGATGATGTTGATGATGTTTTCTGCTGTTAAGCCTCCTCTTCTCTTCTGTCTTCTTTGCAGTTTATCTCAGTTCAGTGAAGAGAACATGATGGATCCCTACAATTTAGCCATCTGCTTTGGGCCAACGCTCATGTCTGTGCCTGAAGGTCATGATCAAGTCTCTTGCCAAGCTCATGTCAATGAATTGATCAAAACCATCATCATCCAACATGAGAACATCTTCCCGGGACCGAGGGAACTGGAGGGACCAGTATATAGCAGAGGTGGAAACACCGAGGATTACTGGTAGGATAGAGGAGGAGATGAATGGGTGGATATTTATTTATTAGCTGCCAAAATCAATCTCCTTTAAGCCGTTATTTCTGGTTTTTTCCCCTTCTTTCTTTGTTTTCTCTCCTGCTTTTGCCTTTGTCCCTGCTTGTCTTGAGCGCCTTCTCTTCAGCCACAGGGGTCACTCACGGCTGAACCTGGAAAGCTGGTGCCATGGTTTCATGTGCAGGGCAGAGCTGCTGGTGGGGGATGGAGGAGGCAGGAATGCAAAATCACCATTTCCATCCAGCTTAAAGCTCCCGGGGCCTGGCCGCGTGCGCAGCTTGAGAGGCACATCTGGAAGCCATTCAGGCAGCGCGGCTCCTGTCATCTGGGGTGGAAGGTTGGGGAGTGGGGGAAGGAAAGGAGGTGTTTGCTTTCCTACCGGCCAAGCTGCTCTCTCCCTCCGCAAAGGAGGAATGTTAACTTGTGTCCTGCTTCTCCCCCCGGCTCCCCTTCCCTCCCCCTGGGTCCCAGGAATGCAAATGATTATTTTCCTATGCTGAAATAAATGCAGTTTGAAAGGCAGGCACTCTGGTGACAGAGCAAGCCTTGTGTGCCCAGCTCGCTTCAGGATAGCTTTAACTATCAGCTTGCTCCACGTACGCGGGTGAGGAGAGGCTCCTCCAGGCTAACTGCTGCGTGCAGAACACTTGCCAGAGCCTCTTTTGGAAGTGCTGTTAATTTTACCCCTTCCTCTGATGTTTTTAACTGATGTTATATGTGAAGGAATCATAGGGAAAGTGAAAGGGAGGAATCGTTGTGGCCTTCAGGAAACACATTCACTTTGCCAAGAGGTTTTGTCCCGTAAGGTGAAGGGAGTCAGAACGTGACATGTTCAGCATGGGTGACACCTCACTTGAGCATGCAGGAGGCAAAATGTCCTGGAAGGTAACGGTGATTTTCTGAAGGCATTCATTGCCTTTCCTGACCACCCAGACCTGAGAACCTATTAAGCAGAGGAGGGTAGAAGCAAGCAAGAGGGGATTGCTTAAAGCCAGGAAGAAGCATCTGGTTCCCATTCAAGCCTTCTCATAGCCCTGGTATTTAGATAGTTGTTAGTTATTGCCCATAGGGCTTCTCACCACGGAGTGTGCAAGCAGCAGAGAGAATCCTTGTACTCCAGCTGAATCATAGAATCCCAGCACGGTTTGGGTTGGAAAGGACCTTAAAGCTCATCCTTGCCACAGGCAGGGACACCTTCCACAAGAGCAGCTTGCTCCAAGCCCTGTTTAACCTGAGATGCTGCAGTGGGATGCACTGGGTGGCTGGGTTTCACCCCATGGCAGGGGTTGGGAGTAGGTGAGCTTTAAGGTCCCTTCCAACCCAAACCATTCTGTGAGTGTATCCCAGGGCTCACGTGACAGAGACACTCAGTCTGCAGCAAGGACAAGGGTGGTTTTGGTGGAAAGTGGTGTTGGAGGCATGGCTAGGAGGAAGCACGTGGGTTTTGGCTGTATGCATCATTACTTCACAGTCTGTGTGAAACTTTAGCCCTCAATGCTGTGTTCCTCTTGGGACTTCCATTCGGCTTCAAATTCTTGTAACTTTATTAAGTAGCATAAAGACTTTTTTGCTTTTCCTCTCTGCTCCTGTCCTAAGGGAGCTGCTCATGGAGCTTCTTACCAAAACATAACCTTTGGTTGCCACTTGTCTATTGATCCTGTCAAAGCTTTTCTTCATAAAGGAGTACTCTTGATGGTTTAGGTGCTCTGTGGCTAAAGATTTCAGGCAATTAATCCGGCTGTGGGAGGTGTTTGGTGAAATGAATGGGCCAATTTAAGTTTGTGATAAAAGGGAAGGAGGGAGATGGCAATGGAAGTATTTCAGACCCGGAAACATCATTCGGAATTGAGACATCATTTACCTCAGGAAGTGGCAGCTCTCTCATCAGTCATCTAATGGGCTGATTACAGTGGAGAGTACAGCTGAGGGTGGGATTCTGGTGTGGCAGAGAGGAGCTAGGCCCAGCACGCTGTCTGACCTCTCGACATCTCCAGAGGTCTGGGTTATAAGACCTGAAGTTGGACTTTCCTGGTAGCGCACAAGGTTATAATGAAGCTGTTCACTTGGCTTGATCACATGAAAACCTGGGTTTCACTCACACGAACTTAAGTACATGCAAATGCATCCACAGAGCGTCTGTGGCAGAGGAACCCAGGTGTTGGTGCTGAGGCACTGGAACAGGTTGCCCAAAGACGTGGTGAGTGCTCCATCCGTGGCAGTGTTCAAGGCCAGGTTGGACAGAGCCTTGGGCGACATGGTCTGATGTGAGACATCCCTGCCATGGATGATCTTAAGGCCTTCTCCTACCCACACCATCCTATGATTCTTTGACTTCTGATGTAGATATTCCTGGTTATCTTTGATTGCTGTAAATGAGGACACTCAATTTCTACCAGTGTAAATCACCGCCTCTGTTCCCTTCTCTTGTAGTGAAAGCCCCCATGGGGAGAGAGCCTCAACAGAAGACTCTGTTCAGGACGTTACGGCTGAGCACCACACCAGTGATGATGGTATGTGGAGTCTATTAGCTGCTTGGTTAACTGGTGCAACCTGCTGTGGGGGAGGCAGAGAAGACAGTGCCATGCAATTTAAGTTCAAGATGAAATCCAAATCAGAGTTTTAATTAGATTAGGCACTTGAAATGTCACCTGCAGCATTTGATGCCAAGAAGTAAAAGAGTATAGGATCAACAGGAATCTTTGCAGTCTTATTTTGAAAGTATACCTTCTTTTCAAGGGCATCTCATCTTAGCATGACTGTTGGAGCTCATCTGTACCCTAGAAGGATCCTAGAGTTGGAGAGCCAAAGGCTGGATGTGTTTCAGTGCTCCCATCAGGTGGTGCCAGGCATTTCCCATTTGGGAAGCTTTGGCGAGGGGATTGGGAGGGCTTTGAGCCCCAATGGTTCTGCTTTAAGGAAGCAAGCAAAATAAAACCTGTTTGTCTTCCACTGAGAGCCAGGTTTTAGGGTAGCGGGTCTCCTTGGTGAGACTCTGTTATATGAGCAGTAAAAAGGGGTGCCAGTGCTTGGGATTCTGTGGTTATTTCCTAAGGAAAAGGTGATGCTTCAGTCCTGGAGTGTCTGTGAGGCTTCCAAAGCTGCCTCCTGTGATGGGAAACTTCTATATCCATGAGCCCCGTGCAGAGCAGAGGAAAAGGTTACGTTACTGGTGTGAAATGGTGATCCCTGGAATACTGACCAAAGCAGGGCATAAGGTGGTTTTATTCTTGTGGTTTGGCCCTCTGCAGTTGTTCTGTGGTGGTTTTACTTGTGATGGCCTCACTTGTGAAGGTGGGGAGCAGGGAGCATTCCCTTAGAATTAGGTGGCATCCTTTTTGAGCTGGCCTTCAGGAATGTTTTTGACAGCCCTGCCATATGCTGTGCTGCTTTTTGCTCTCTTTGCTGCAGCAGTTGCCTAACAACCCTTTCCCATGGTGTTCCTGTGCTCCCGCTGGCTTCATGGTGTTCAGACAGCAGTAACAAAGTAAAGGATGTTGAGCAGTGCTTTGCAATGCTGGAAATCCATTGTCCCTCAGCAAGGTCAAGCACTGTCACAGCAACTCCTCACCAAGGTTGTTGGAAGGAAACACAGAGCCTACAGGAATGAAACATGAGTTCACTTGAACAATATTCTGTCTGTAAAGTGTTAGCTTCTTAAAAACCCAGGAGAACATGTCCTTTGTGAGTTTGTACCTATAGGGAGGGCAGTTTCATTGCTGTAATGAAGGAAAGGCTAACTCATCCTGCCCTGTAAAGCCCAGGACTAAAGCCTGCAGGCTGGTGTGCACTTGTGTTGTCTCTGATGGGATTTTTAGATCACTTCTGTGGCTAAGAGGCTGCAACGATGAGAAAGTGAGCAGTTAGAGATGAGAGAAGGCCAGGGTTTTGCAGCCTCTGGAGCTGCACTGCGTGGGGGCCCCGAGCAAGGTAACATTTGGAGGCGTATTGGATGGAGTTCTGCAACCTACATGGAATATTCCATAGGAAGCATTTGGGAAGGAGCGTTTGGCACTGAAGCAGAAGAGGGAGCTGGGCCTCTATCTCTTAGAGGGAGCAGAGCAAGGGCTGGCTAAGGAGTATCACATCCTTCTAATGGAGCTGTGCAGTGGCACACCTCAGGCACGCTTCTTAGAGGTGCAGCGTACAACTCCAGCATGGATGGTGGTAGGTTTTTCTCACTCTTTCAGTGTTTAGATGTGAAGCACTTGCTCCTTTAGCTCTTTTGTGAGGCTGGCACTCATCCCCCTAAAGTAAATCTGTCCTCCCAGCCACCTTCATCGGAGGAAGGAGTCAGTTTTGGGGTGGGGGGAGAGGTTGTGTTTTGCAGAGCACCAGTGCTCCTCACCATCAGCCTCCAGTGAGTGGACACTGGTTTGAGACAGGCAGAAGAGGTCAGAAATGCTCCAAGACAAGGCGGTCGTATGTTTGTTAAATGATGGGGATGAGTGGAAAGATTTTAAGCTGCTGCTTTCCTGTGCAGGCTGTCAGACTGGCAGGGGTGGTGGTTTGGCTTAGCCTCATTGCTCTTCATTCACACAGCTCTCTTCTCTCTGAGCATAAGTGTAGTAGGAAAAAGCTACTGGAAATTAGAGGCTAAAATCACTTCTCTGGATGAAAGCCAAAGCCCTAAAAAGCAAATTGGAAACATAAGAAACCTGAGTGCTGCGCTCATCTGGAACAATAAACACTTCTTAATGAAACAGATGGAATTTACCAGGTCCCATCCCCTTCGTGAATGGAGGGGACACCACATCCCAGTGTTAGCTTTTCCTTAGTGTTAGGAAGCAGCTGTCTCCAGAGGCAGAACAGGCAAGAGGAGCGAAGGGGCCAAGCCCAGATAACCATGTGCTCTGGGGAGTCTGGAGCAAGGCAGCTCTTGCAGGCTGCAGCCATGGGCCAGGCTCTTCTCAGCCCTGCAGATCTCCCTCTGGTTGCTGAGGGCTGATAACAGGGTTGGTGTGAGGCTGTCCACAGGCTTACCTGAATGTGTGATTTGAATCCTGGCTGCCTGGTTTAGTAATGGATGGATTTACACCAGTTCCTCAAGCCCAGTTGCTACCTTGCCTGCCTATGGGCAGCCTTGGAGGTGTACTTCTGGAGCGTATGCTCTCCCAGTTGTAAAAGCTGTGGCTCATGTTTGGCCTTTCAGGCCTTCTGGCTGGCTCGTGCACTGCAGAAGCTTCCATGATGCAGAGGAGGTCTCAGTATGAAATGGCTTCTTCTCCTTGTCCGGGAAGAGCAGCCACAGATCTCTTTCTCCAGGGAAGAACCCAATCTCCATGGACTCCTCAGCTGTGTTAAAGCTCCTTTAAAGTAATTAGAGGCTGAAGTCTGCTGGGGCTGTGTGCTTGAGCTCATCTCCATTCCCCTGATTCCTGCCTAGAATCAGGAGCTGCCTTAGAGTATAATTAGGGTGAACCAATGGCAGATTTTTCTAAGCCTCCAAATGAATTTCATATTGATTTTTCTGAGCATCTGAATGCCCATATTGTCCCTCTGTATAACAGCAGGGTCCTGCAGGGACCCACATTAGTGCCTGCTTGCAGACACAGCATGGCTGTAGTTCAGATTCCAGGAGCGGTTGGATTCGGAGCAGGGGAAGCAGCTCCCAGCACAGCGGTGCTGGGCATGGGGCGGTGCTGGGGGAGCAGCTTGCCCTCCTGAGGCTGCACAGACCACGGCCATGGAGGCACTGCATGTTTTCCTTAACCTCCGTGGATGAATAGCACAGCCTGAATCCGGTCTCCTGGGTCAGGTGAACCTCACAAGCAGCAGAAACTTCCCTCTGAATGCATGCTTTATTTCTGAAGCAGCTTGGAATGAGAGGATGTTTCCCTCCCTAAATGCCAGTAACAGCTCCTGCCTGCCCAGGTTTACTTTAACTGCCTTGAAGAAAGCAGACCACAGGCAGGCTTTTGTCTGGACCGTACCTGGTTGCTCCTCAGCTTTGGTGGTTTATGTTATTGGGATACTAATTTTGCTGTTGCCACTTCCATCCTGGTAGATTTGAATTGCTGAAAGTGGTTTCGGGCTTGGGAAATGGGAATGTGTCCATCCCATAAACATTAGGGAAATGCTGAAATAGCAACATCCTCCTGTTATAGGGGTTCCCCTCTGAGTCTTGCTGCTTCAACCCTCTGCTGCCTTAAGAAGCAACATTTTATCCTCCTCCATGCTCTCATCAGAAGCTGTTTTCTGGTAGGTTTAAACTGTTGAATACTTACCTGAGCCCGAGTGTTTAGTGAATTATTGTTTATTCCCTTCTATCTCCTAGAGTGTGAGCCCATAGAAGCGATAGCGAAGTTCGACTACATTGGCAGGACTGCACGAGAGCTGTCCTTTAAGAAAGGAGCTTCTCTCTTACTCTATCAGCGGGCCTCAGATGACTGGTGGGAGGGACGCCACAATGGAATTGACGGCCTTATTCCTCATCAGTATATCGTCGTTCAAGACACGTATGTTACCCTTGAAAGCCCATCAGAAATCAGGCTCTCTCATTTGAAAGACAAGTAATAACTCTTAAGAGAAAGATGCTAGCACAGTGCTGTTGTCTTGTATGTGTGCTCGCAGAAATACGCGGTGCTGTGATTGAAAGTCGCTGTTGGTCCTGTTTGGGTTGTGATTTCCTTCCCTCCTCCTTCCTAGTGAGGATGCTGCCTCTGAAAGATCCAGTCCGAAGTCTGAGATAGAAATAAACTCTGAGCCACCGGAAGAGAAAGTGACGGCTCGAGCTGGTGCCAGTTGCCCAAGTGGGGGTCACGTCGCAGATATTTACCTTGCAAACATCAACAAGTAAGAACAGCCTTGCATTATTATACTTTAACTGTACACATCTTGGTGATGGGTCCAGGAAAATGCTTCCTTCCCTGGCAAAGGTTGACTAATGAGCACTGCCACCATATTAATCTGCTTCCTCCTCTTCTAACTTGATCGCATTTTGCTGTCCCTTCTTTCTGTGTCATCAGCGTGGCCAATGCTCATTTAAAATCCCACTGGCTTCTCCTCCCTTTCTCAAAGGTGCCATCTGTTCCCTCTTGCCCAAATATGTCCTATTTTCTAAGCTCAGCACACAGAGCAAGGGAGGGGAATAGCGGAATGAGTTTCTTGGTACTCATGTGTTGCCATTCGTTATCCTGTCCTGTGATTTGTTCTGTCTCATTTACAGTTAACATGCTTTAGTTTATGGGGTGGGCGGCAATTCCTTCAGAAGCTAGTGTCACATTCCGTGCTGAATGACATAGCCTCAGCCCACCATCTGGCATTGCCTGTAACATTCCTTGTTTCTCCAGCACTTCTCACCTTAGGTTACTAACCATATGCTTGCAGTGCAACAACACACCTCCCTGTTGCTAACTTTGCCTTCTCAACCAGAATGGGTTACTTTAGCCAGCATTCAGCATAATAAAACCCCTGTGTAATTAAGCTAGTAACAGACTAAATTCCTTGTTCTGTTATTGATTTATTCTAGACCAGGCTTATCCCCCATATCTTTCTGATTATTTCCTTAGTAGTAAAAAACCCCACCTATCTCTATTGTGCAGTGAAGATATTAACATGAAATTACAGTATGATGGGAGTGGATACTTTTACCCTTCAGTTAGTGTAACAGAGTGTGGTCTATGAAGGCGTTAACAGAAATGAATCCTTCTTAAAGGTTTGGACCTGCTCATGTCCTACACAGAGCCTGGTCTTTAGTTTATGGGTATATAATGAGCAGACCTGTGTTGGAGCTTCAGCATCTGCTGGTTTTGGTAGTGTTGTGTGTAGTGTTGTATGTAGTGCCTTTAAGCTGCCTGGGTAATGTCCACTCCCGTATTTTTTCCCTTTCCTAGGGAAACTGATATTTAGCAATAGTAGCATAAGACTCATTTTGTTGTTTTTTCTTTAGGAATGAATCTTCTGACCTATGTGTGAACAGACTTGAGCAAAATTAAATCAGATGGTTTCGCAATGACAGTTGTGCCACCCACTGAATTATTATTTGGATGCCAAAATCCTACTGGAGTTAACACTTTCTTGCAGTTACTCATGGGGCTGGTGCTATATATAAATGGATCCTTCCCTGTATAATGGATGCCAAGCTTCAGACCTATGGCATAAAGTATTCTGCTGCATTGGCCTTCATGTGATTTGAGTGGAATCGTGCTGTCAGACTGCATGGTGCTGGGGTAGAAACTAAATTGTTTGGACCAGCTCATCCATTTGACATGATGTTTTGGTATATCTGTAGCCCTACACAGATAATGCCTTGTGATGCTGCTAAAGCAATGAAAAAGAAACATCTCTTACCACCAGCAAATACTGGAAATTGTCATTAACCTCAGACTAAGGGGTTCTTTGCTTATCAGTCTCTGAACATAACAACTTGATGCCTTGGGCCAGGAGCTTAGTAGACTTATACTGTGTCCTCCAGTCAAAAATTGTAGCTCTGCTCTTCTAATGTAATAAAAACACATCATCAAAACCTGTCGATGGCACAGAGGGTTTTTTTTGTTCAAATATAAATCCTTTTCCTCTTGACCAAGTTAATCCCATCCGAGTTCTCCGTTTTTGTTGAATGTGCACAGCTGCCAGAAACTCAGTCTTGTTGTTAGAAGTGTTAAACTGGACTGACTTTACTGTTTCCACAAAGACTCCTAAAATCCCGGGTGTATTTGTAATCTGGGCATCTTCATGTCTCTTCCCATTGTCCTCTGTGTTGTTTTGGGGGGATATCTTCAAATGACAGCCCATTACGTGTACCTGCTTGTATTGATTTGTTTTGCTTTTGTGACTGAAGGCAAAGAAAGAAACCAGAGTCAGGCAGCATCAGAAGAGCCTTCCGTCAAAGTGACAGCCATGGACTAGGTAGCTCAATGGCAGAACCAGCCTCCCCAGGAGCCATAGCCGGTTCCAGACCCTCATCTCAGCCCATTATGAGCCAAAGTCTTCCCAAGGAGGTTCCAGATAAATGCTCCATCAGTGGCCATGGCAGCCTCAATTCTATCAGCCGACACTCGTCTCTGAAGAACAGGATAGACAGCCCCCAGATCCGGAAAACTGTGACAGCAGGGAGGTCCAAGAGCTTCAACAACCATCGGCCCATGGACCCTGAAGTTATTGCACAGGTAAACGGGAGTGCTTTGCCTTAGATTTCTTTTGGAAACTTGAAGGATGTTGGACACAATGAGACGTTTTAATGCGAGTCTGATATAATCTCTTCTCCCTTCCCTTCTCTCGATGCAGTATTAACTTACCGCACAGCTTGAGTCTAGTCTTTCAAGCTCGCTTTCTGTAAGTCACTGAGACTGCTTTCATGAGTGAAGATAAACACTGAGGTCCTTCCTCCATAAAAAACTTGGTGCTGTTCATGCTTCAGAATTCAGTTTCAACAATAAAAATGTCCAGTTCAGAAAGTTACATGTATTTCAAAGCTGTCAGCAAAAAATGAACCTATCCTGATTTCAGGACGTGAGAAAAGTAAAGTAGTTAGTGTCATTTTAACAGTCTCCTGTCAGTTGTGCAAACTTGCCTGTGGTTAGGCACTGCAAGCGTGTGGAGTAGTACAGTCAAAATAAAAGCAGGCTGCTGAGTTGTACAGGGCATCTTTATATGCTTACAGGGTTCACTGCATGATTGGAAACCAGCTTTGAACATGATACTGCTAGTTTTCATTAGTTATTTCTTCAGACAAGTGCCTTGAAACGAGGGCAGGCTACTGATGCTTGTGCAGCTGTGCTCAGGCTTAGCAGAGCTCTGCCTCCGGGACTGGCTCCATACCCTCACCAGGTAACAAGGAAGGTCAGCTCTGTGTCCAGCTCTGGGGCCTCAAGAGGGATGTGGAGCTGTTGGAGCAAGTGCAGAGGAGGCCACAGAGATGCTGCGAGGGCTGGAGCCAGGCTCCAGGCTTTTCAACAGTTGAAAGTCAGGCTTTGATTTGAGCAAGCGACAGCTACTGACGGGGTGAATGATGCAAACAGTGCAGATTTCCTTCTTCCATGAAGGATCTTCCTTTTCTCCCTCTCCAAGCTGTTACATGTGCCTGCACACACATGTTGCCTGTACCAACTGTTTTCAGTATGCGATGGATCTATCTAAAGCCAAGGAATGTTTGGCTCTCAGATTACAAAGCCCTGGGAGACCCAACTTTGCCTGGTTCAGGAGTCAGGAGGTTTCTAAGGAGCTGGGGGAAGAGATGTGAAAATTAAACTTAATTCTTATTGACAAAACAGCAACGCCAAGTAACGAATAAGATCCACATAAAAACCTGCTCCGTATTCTGATGGGAGGTTGTGTTTTGCTGGGTTAGTATCTTTAGCCCGTTTGTTACAGTAGAATTATAGTATAAGGTGCTTGTTTTCATCTTTCTTTATCCTTCCAAGGCTTTGGTTGACACAAATCAATTTCTTTGTTTTTTCAATCATGCTCTAACTGAAATGGTTTGGTCTCCTCTTCCTGCCAGAACCTGAACTCCATTGTTCTTGTTAGAGAAGAGTCTGGGGAGAAAAAGGAAAGAGGAGGGGGGGAAAGAGAGAAAAGGAGTGGGGAGAAGAGAATAAAAGAGGGGGGAAGATAGGAGGGGGAAGCACTGTTGAGCGAGTGTTTCTCTTTGCCCTGTACTCTGTATTCAAACACCAACTCATCATCATTGTGCATTTTACATATTTTCCCTAACTTCATCAGTAAAATGTGCCTGGCCTCAAGATAGACTCGGGGTGTCGGGTTACTGACTCCGGCTTCCTCCGCCATTCCTTCCCTGATTTACCTTCCCCACCCCCTGAGAAACCTCTGAGGAAGCTCCAAAGCTGCAGCCAAAGCGTGAGTCAGAGCCAGGCTGAGCTCCTCTGCTCTCCGGTGGATGCGGAGCTCTGGTGGGCTCAGCGCGCAGGCTGGAGCCAATGCATCGCTCCTGCTACAGCCAGGCCTCAAGCCTGTCTCCTTAAGTTGTTCTTATCAGGGACATCTCCTTATCAAGTTTATCTCCTTAAGTTCTCCTTGTATTTGTTAGTAACTGTAATACCTTATGAGAGGAGCAAGTGCCAACAGCAGTTTGATAGAATCAGCCAGGTTGGAAAAGACTTTAAGATCAAGACCAACCTGTACCAGCACTGCCAAGGCCACCACTGAGCCCTTCTGACCTGGGTTTGGACAACTTGGACAGCAGGACAACCAGCAGGAGCACACCGGGATTGCAGCAGTTGGTGTGTGCTCCATCAGTCAGTGTCAAATCATCAAGCTTTTCTTCAAGAACTTACTCTCCTGAATCTTATGTGCCAAATAAAGTACAAGAACGGGTCCTCATACTTTGAATCCCATGGATTTCTGTTCATTGCCGTGTTTTGGGATTGTCCTTGAAGTCCAAGCAGCACCAGGACCAGTAAAGGACCAGATTAGCATTGAGACAGTGCTAGCAATGACTTTACTCCCTGATATGGAAAATATGACTGCTTATTGGCTTCAGTATGTACTGCTATGTAGTTTGGCGTGGGTTTCCCTTTGACACCTAAAGGTCCTTGCTCTGCCAGTTGGTTGGGGTGTTGGTGTTTACAGGCTGAAAACAAACACGTTGCTCTCAAAGACTGCCTTGTATCTCTGTATTCATGGGTCTGGGTTCTGGTCCTCACTCGGTTCCTCTTTTGTGTTTGCAGGATATTGAAGCCACCATGAACTCTGCTCTCAATGAGCTGCGGGAGCTGGAGAGGCAAAGCAGCGTCAAGCACACGCCAGACGTTGTCCTCGACACCCTGGAGCCTTTGAAAACGTCTCCAGTGGTGGCCCCCACCTCGGAGCCCTCCAGCCCTCTGCACACTCAGATCCTCAAGGACACTGAACCGGCTTTCCAGCGCAGCGCCAGCACCGCCGGCGACATCCCCTGCACCTTCCGGCCCGTGAAGTCAGTGAAGATGGCCACGCAGGTGAAGCCTCCGGCCACGCGGCCCAAGCCCACGGTATTCCCTAAAACCAACGCCACGAGCCCCGGCGTTGCCTCCTCTGCACCTCAGCAGCCTGCTGACAAGTCCTGCACTGTCTGAGGAGCTCCACGCTGCTGCTCTGTGGGTACAGCTGTGTCGTTTCAGACAATGAGACTCTGTTAAAGGACATGAAACTTCCTATGTAACTCCTGCTTTTGAACTGAAGGTTAGTTGTGAACTGCTCCTTCCTGCTGGGAGCGCTTCCTGGGAGTGAACTGAGTGGTAACAACCTCATCCCATGTACCCGCATCAGTGATGTCCGTCAGGCTGCGCTTCGGAAATGCGGGATCGGGTCACTGTGAAGCTGAGGAGGAAAAAAGACACACACAAAGTGATGAGTTGGATCTTGGTTTCTAGTTGATGCCTTGTTCAAGTGTTTGGCCACTGAAAGGAATACTCAGTGGCGTCCTGTTTTGAATACTGGTGTAGTGACTTCTGTATTCTGTGTTTCATTTATCACAGGAAGCAATAGGATAGATTTTAGTCTACTGCATGTTTTGGTGCCACTGGTTACGTGGAGCTTGGACATGCCCCTTTCTTGTGCATCCTTACTATGATTACGTCGCCCGCTGGTGCCACGATGGTTTAGGGTCTCTCTCAACATCCATCCCATCCTCGGGTTTTCTTTGTTTGCTCCCCCAGGGCCAGGGCTCTTGGCCATCCTGCCTCATACTTTAGTTGATGCTTGCCATGAAGAATAGTTCACTCTGGAGCACTCTTAGGTTTTGTGGAGTTCTGCGTAATCTGTGTCTGTGCAAATACAAACTAACATGTTCCTAAGGTTTAGGAGCAGAAGAAAGAACCCAGTTGTTGCTTATGGACAGTGTAGCTGTTTCCCCCCCCCTTTGCTCTCCCATATTTAAACCCAGCTCTACTGTTTCTGAGTGTAATTTTCAGCCCGTAGGCTACGGTGTGGTGTGTGGTCTCGGGAGACTGAATGTACAAACAAGTTAACTTTTGGAAACTAAGTGTACTCTGATGGGAGTTCATTTCCTAACGCACACATTCTTGTTTTGATCATACGTCAGGATGGATCCTTACCAAAATCCCTGTTCCAAGCACTGTAAAAACTTCAACCCAGAAGTTCTCGAGCTTTGTTACCTTCTCCCTCTCCCTGGTTGCAAATGCTTTGGTCGGTAGTTGTGACCACTGTGAACTGCTTAAGGGATCTCTGCTCTCATAGAGCAGTGTAGGAGATGCTGCTGGGGACAGTGATGGGGCAGCATGCAGCTTCTGAGTGGCTTCCCTACGTGCTCGTTGCTAGGCTGGCATGCCCTCCATAGGACTAAGACATGGGAATGAGTGCTTAGGACTTGTATTTATATGGCAGGCAGCAAATGCTTCAGCCTCTAGCAGGCTGCATGAACTCTTTTGTACTCTACTGAGAATCTTCCATAATGCTGACATTTATTTAATGAAGCAAAATAAAAGGCATGTGCCACTTACAATGGTGAAGATCCCACAGTGCTGCAGGAGAGGAGACTCTGGCTGACCCTCAGTTCACCTCCTTCCCAAGCTCTTCTGGGATTTAAATGAAACCCTGCGCATCTCCTGTTTTCATCACAGAAATTCAGGCAAGGACAAGAGAAGAAAAGTCATTTTTCTCTCCCATTTTGCTTTGAAATCTGTGGGTTTCTCACCCTTGGCTTCCCTGTGACTGCAGTGGTGTTTTCATTAGCACTTGGGAATTCAGAAAGAAGAAACAGAACTTGCATTTCTGAAATGTGCTCTTCTGCTTCATTTAGGCTGGGACTCTGAGAAATGGGCAGGGGGTTATTGTGTCCCTGTCCATCCCCACACGCACCCCCCCCTACAGAAGTTACATATCCATGTTGAGGATGGCTTCTAAAAACACCACCATTCTCTGCGCCCTACAGTTGGGGAACAGCAGGAAGATTTCCATGAGAACACTATTCCTCCTTAGCTATCTGTAGCAGCCATTCCCCTTGGGAAGCACCACGGTACGTGTGTGGCTGTCACTGGACCATGCCCCGTTCCTCCTGCAGGGGAAGCTCCCCAGCAGTGTGACCAGCGACCTTTGCTCTCAGGTTCTGATGGACTTTTGCCACCAAGGAATCACTTGTTCTTTTGGGGAAAACTAGGATTAAACTTGTAATTTTTTGCTCAGGCAGAACTTTCTGGCATTTCCTTTTAAGTAGGGAGGGTTTGGGTTTGTTTTCCTCTTGGTCATGAATGACCAAAGTTAATCTGTGTCAAGAGCAGGCTCTCTGTACATTTACTTCGACTCATTTGTAATGCCTTATTTTCTTTAGACTTTTATGCCTAGCAGTCGTGTTTCTAAGACTTAAGTGTCCAGCCACGCACAGCACATTTGGAGGAGATGCTCTTTTCTACCTTTGAGGTCTGAAGTATGAATGGAAATTGAGATTTAACACAAAAAATAAGACTTCAGGTTACTGTAACAGCAACTGTCTGTATCTGAATTACTGTGCTTATCTCTAGCATCCACAGCTTGGGGACAATCCTACTGTCAAGGGGAATGTGCTTAGCAGGATAACCTGTCTCTTGAGCAACTCAACTGGAATTCTGGTGTGCACTGTGATTGACACTTCCACTTGACAGCAAGCAATACAGCAGGCTGAACTCATCCTTCCTCTGCCACGGGCTCCGGGTCTGGCCAACCAGCAGGAAACTCACACACGCACACACATGGGAGGAGAAAAGACATAAAAAGGGGCTTTTGAGCTTGCCTGCTTCACCCTGTGAACATCCAAGGCTGGGAGAAGTTGCCACAAGTGGTTTACAACCAGTTGCTGCAGGAGAGGTGGGAAGGAGAAACTGGAAGCGTCAGCACCACTCCTTGCGAAGCCAGTGGGCGTCTCATTGAAGAGACCAACACAGGGTGGACAAGCACGACACGGTGGTTTGCCTGGGGAGGTACCACTGTTCCTTCATACCTTCATACTCAGAAGAAATCTCAGCTCTTCCATGGAGATTCTCTTTCATGACTTTTGTGTAATGTTTGTGTCAAATATCAAGGCAAGAAGTGTTTGATAACTGGAATAATGTCTGTCTGTTTGATAGTGCTTTCTACGAACAAAGGGTTCTTGTTCAACAGATGCTGGATTGAAATAATCCAAAGCACCGCTTTTAAAATAAAATGCCATTTTAGGTGATCAATCTTCATGGTTTCTGAAGCTCGAACCTTTCATGTTTTCTCTCCCGAGTTGGGAATTGAGCAGCGTGCTTCAGCGGTGGCTGAATTCCTGCCTCTCCAAGGTAATCCAAAGGCTCGTGGTTTAGCAGTTGTAAGGTTGTTATCCGTGTCAAAGCAGTGGGACATGAGCAGCTCTCACTTTTCTCTGTACTGGCTATCTCGTTGCAACGAAAATGATGAAATCATTAGGGTGCATTGTGACAGCAGCAGAAAATCCTTGTATATGTATGTATTTTGATACCTGTTCCAGAAGAGTCTTTGGGTTTCCTGTGATGAATACCTCATGTGTTGGGTTTGGGGAGTTTTATGTTGATTTCTTTGTTGATTTAATTGTTAAGGCAAGATTGTTCTTGCACAAAAGTAGGTTAAGATAACCGAGTTCTCATTTATTTACCGAATCAAAACCCTTCAGAGCAGGGCAAGGAATTCCATCTGTCATGGTTCCCACCTCACCGTTTGCCTCCGTGCTTGGAAGAGCTCTAGCAATATTACAAGACAAAAAGAGGTCGTTGCAGATGGAGTTTGCTGCCTTATTTCTCTTCTTCTGTGTGTCAAACCCTCAAATTCATTCAAGAGATGTTCTTCAATAGAAATAAATGTCTCTGGTGAGCACTTCAGCTCCTTTCCGCAGGTGTGCCTGGGTGTGGGTGCTCTGTCACCTGAGGAAATCCATACTGAGGGAAGAGGTAAAGGAGATGATGCTCTCAGGAGGGTGTAGCTCAGTAGGAAGGCAATGGTAATGATGGAAAACATCCCTTGAGACAATTTGTTCAACTTGGGAAGGCATTGAAGTGTTGGGCCCCAATCTGCCTGTTGTCCCTTGGGGATGTGGGGCTGCTACAGTGGGCAGGGGCAAGCCCTGACTGCATTTACTCATGGGTCTGTGAGTGAGCTGCAAGGTAGAAAAACTGCTTTAAAAGGAAGAGTCAAAGGAAAAGTGCAGCATTCGGGGACTTCCATCACTAAGGAGCATGAACAGAACAGAAAACGGGTTTAGCAGCTTGGGGCTTGATGTATTTGGAGATCCAGGTTTCCCATTCATCACTTGGCCTTGGCAAACAGCTCACCAGTGTGGTTATAGACATGAAGCTGTCTCCCTGGCAGACCGGTAGCACTGGAGCTCTTCATGGGAGGCAGCGATGTTCTCTCTGGGATGAATATTGCTCCCTGTGGAATCTTCCAGCCTCCAGGTCTGGAAAAAGGCCAAGTGCTCACTGGGGCTCTAGACTGAGCTTTGGGGTTTGAGCTGAACATACCACTTTGGAAGAGAATCCTCTCTTTGGATCAGCTTTCTGCTTGTCTCTGTCTGTGTGCGACAACCTGGTACTTGAAATCAAACTACTTGACCCACTGCCTTGCGCCCACCAGCAGGCACATGAATTGTTTTCCAGGACTGCTTTTAGGAGCCTGATTTTGGTGGATCTGGAGATGCCAAAACTGCAGTTCAAGACCTGGAAAACACAAGGTTTCTTTTTTTAGTCTGTGTTTTCTTCCTGTTCTATTTTGTGCTTCCTATAACGTAGGTTGAGACGAGAGTGGTGGTGTTCAACCACAGGCCAAAAAGAGGTGAAGGCGGAGAGGGGGCAGCTCCCTACTATCTAATACTTGATACACCAAGCTTCATACAGGGTAATATTCAGCAGTTTGCAATGGGAGCAAGAGATGGACCCTTCCTTTACAAGGCACTAGAGGAACCTTACTGGTGACAGGGGTTTCACCAGCCTTTCCTCTCCAGTCCTGGCCTTGGAATGACTGAAGTCCAATGGGATGGACTCGTGCGGGTGCCAAACTGCTGGAGCAATACTCGGGAGCAGCAGGTTCCTCCAGCCCAGCTCCATGTAGCCAGATGAGGGCAGTTCTTGAAAGCCACCTCTGCTGTGTTCCACAGGAGCGTGGGGGTTCCTGGGTCTGCTGTAACGTAGGGAATTGGGGTGGCAAAGTGGAGAAGTGTGTGTTTTCTCTGTTGGTCTGAGCCCTGGGTCCAGCAGTGCGGGCTCATTGGGTTTGGGGCTTTATTAGCAGTTGTCTAATGGTGGGATGGAATGTTCTTGCTAAAACAGTTTCCATTGTTTCATGTCTTCTACACCAATATATATACGGTGTATATATTAAACTGTGTAAAGTTGTACTTTGTATATAGAACTCTGTACAATATGGAGGTACATCCCTTTTTTTGTTTTCCTTTTGGTACAGTATTGTACAGTATTAGGAGTAAACGTGTTGGAAATGTTGAATCCATCCTGGGGCAACGCAATGTATCCATTGTCATTAGCAATAGTTTTGGAGAAATAAATGTTTTGGGTATGGTGGAAATCCTGACCTGTGGATGCTGGTACGTGATGAGTGTGAGTGAGAGCTGGGGAGGCTGCAGGTGGAAGGAGACGGAGGAGGAGGATGGTCTGCAGGAGCTTGGGGAATCCTCAGGGTTATTTGAATGGTAACCGGCACTGGTGAGCATCATCCCAGCCTGGTTTGGGTTGAAGGGAGCCCAAAGCTCCTCCAGCTCCAACCCCTGCCATGGGCAGGGACCCCTTCCACTGGAGCAGCTTGCTCCAAGCCCCTGTGTCCAACCTGGCCTTGAGCACTGCCAGGGATGGGGCAGCCGCGGCTGGTGCAGGCAGGGCCGCTGATGCTCTTTATTCCTCAGGCTTTGCTGCCCCCAGCTGGAACAATCGCTTTCATCACGAGCTTGGGGCCGGGGCCGTGGTTTTGCCCCCCGGGCACTCGCATCCCCTGTGGGGTTCATCCCCCGTGGGCACCGCCCGGTGCTAAGGTGCGGGACTCTGCACCCATTGGGAGTGCTGGGGGGGTCTGGGATGTCCGAGGGCTCCCAGCATCAATGCACCTTGCCCTCCCTTTCAGGAGCTGTGTGAAGGATTCACAGCACAGCCCAAGAGCAACCTTTTTGGGGTGTTATCGGCTATTTTAATCATTTCCTTCCCGCCTGCTTTCCCCCTCACCAGCCCCAACCCTGTCCCAAGCTGAAGCAGGTCAGAAGTCTCAGAAAACACCCAAATCTGGGGTTTCTGCCTTTAAAACCCCCTTGGTTTCGGTTTCCTTTCACTGTAGAGCTGAGTTGGTAGCTGGAATTTCCACCCCAGAGGTTTCACTTTCCTCTTTCCTTGTGTTAACTGCTCCTATCTGTGGTGTCGATGGCACCTGAGGGGTGAAACGAGCTCTTCAGCATCTCAAATCGAGGATCTTTATGCCTTATGGTGAGTGAGGGATGTGGCGCAGCAGCCCGGGCACCACATCCCCCCTCCATCCCCAGCCTGCACCCGCACTGCACTGCTGTGGGGAGATCAGTGCTCCTGTGCTAGGGCACAGGAGCAGCAAACAGGGCTGGAAATGACTTGAGGAAGTCACCATGTTCCTTCCTCTTCCTGTCAGCAGAACTGCAGCAGGATGGCTTCAGTCAAAGCGATGCTTCATTGATGTTCCTGGACCTCTGCAGGCTTCACCTTGTGAGGACAGGGCCTCCAGACGCACATCGACCCCAGCCCGACACAACCCCCGGCTGCAGGTCCTGAGGCTGGGCACGACGAGGGGTGGGCGCCTCAGAGCACCCTGCATCCTGCTCTACATCCCGCATCCTGCCCTACATCCTGCATCCCACCTCGCAACCCGCATCCTGCATCCCGCTGCCGCGGGGCTCCCGGTGAGAGCGGTGCTGGTGCTATGGCTCGGGAATGTCCCAGATCCACCTTTGCTCGCCTCTGGAACCCTCGGGAAGCGTTTGCAGGCGCCAGGGCCGGACCTCATCCTTGTCCTGGCGCCTGGGGGTGGGTTTGCGGCTGGGGCAGGGCCCTTGGCTCCCGCTTCCTCCCTCCTTTGCTGCCCTGTGCCCGGAGCCGTTTCACCGCCTCAGGGGCTGCCCCGGGGCCGGGTGCAGAAGCCTCTGGACCTGCGACTGCAGCAGCGGCTCCTGGGGAGGGCTGGGGCTGAACCACGCGGCCCTGGCTCAGCAGGAGCAGAGCCGGGTGCGATGCGGGGTCTGTGCGGGGCTGAGCGCTGAGCCCAGCGCCGGGGGAGCCCCGTTTGGGTGCCCAAGGTGCAGATCCCGCTCCAGCCCCGGCTCTGCTGCACCCGAGCCCCGCTCTCCCCGGAGCAGGAAGCAGCAGCGCTTCCTCCTCCCGCGGATGCTGCGAGCGCGCTCGGCTGCCCCCGGGCTGCGCCCCCGGGGCGGGGAGGTTCCTCCCCCCTCGCACCTCCTCTCGCTTTGCTCTTTGCGCCCCACTCCCGGCGCCAGGGCAAGGCCGGGGCGCGCTCCCGGCTCCGTCCATGCGCGGCCCCGCGCCCGAGCGAGGAGGGCTTCGTGTCGGGGCGGGCGCCGGGGGTGACCCCTGTGCTTCCCCCTGCGGCAGCGCTGCCGGAGATGCAGAGCACCCCGAGCTACCTCTGGAGCACCGAGGACTGCCTGGGCCAGGGCGCAACAGCCTCCGTCTACAGAGCCCGCAACAAGGTGGGTAGGGAGGGAAGGAGCGGGAGAACCCGAGCTGCCCCATGGTGGGGGTGCCCCTGCCCCCCTCTGCTCACCCCGGGGAGCTCCAGGGGCTGCTTTGGGCTTTAATTTCGCTTCTCGTTTGGCTCCTTCCCTCCCCCGGGCTCCAGCTCGGGCCAGCGGGTGCGGAGCAGCTTTGGGGTGCTCCGGAGCAGGTCCCCCTCCGGCACTCCCGGGCATCGCAGGGGGAAGAAGCTGTTTCGGGGGAATGCCCAGAGGTTCCGAAGCCCATTTGCATGTTTCGTGCAAGCGCTCCCCGGGGCTGCACCCCCGGCCCTTGATGCGCACTGAGCAAGCGCCCGCCCAGCGGGGTGCAGAGGCAGCGAGGGGGAGGGTTTGAACCCGGCCCCGTCCCCGTCCCGCTGCGCGCTCCCGGCCTCAGCCCCTGCTGCAAACCGGCTCTGGAGCTGAATGAGCGCGGGCACGGAGCGCTCGGGCTGCGGGGCAGGGAGCGGAGGGCGGTGAGGAGCAGAGGGTGGCTCCTACAGCCGAGGTGAAGGCTGCGAGGTGCCCGCGCCTTGCACTGCAGTGGGGTTTGCATCCCCAGTGGGTGCGGGAGCAGGGAGGGAGCCGATGGAGCCGCTCGGGACGTGCACGGTGCCACCTCCTGCTCCCTCCTCTGCTCCCTCTTCCCCAGAAATCGGGGGAGCTGGTCGCGGTGAAGGTCTTTAACAGCGTCAGCTACCGGCGGCCCCAGGAGGTGCAGATGAGGGAGTTCGAGATGCTCAGGAGGCTGAACCATGAAAACATCGTCAAGTTCTTTGCTGTAGAGGAGACAGTAAGTGGGGTCCCGGCCCCGAAACCCTGCTCCTGGGCTGCCTCCTCCTCCCTCTGCCTCCGCACCAAGCCTCAGCCCTTCAGCACTGGTGGCACTGGAGCACTCTGAGAGCTGCTGTTGTTCCCTGTCACCCTCCAGCCGAGGGAGGGGTGGAGCTCAGTGGGGGGACCTCAGGGCTGCTCCCTGCGCAGGGCAGCAGCAAGCAGAAGGTGCTGGTGATGGAATACTGCTCGGGGGGCAGCTTGCTGAGCGTGCTGGAGGAGCCGGAGAACACCTTCGGCCTGGCTGAGTCCGAGTTCCTCATTGTGCTGCAGTGCGTGGGTGAGTGAGGGGTCCCCCCATCACCGTGAGCGCAGCCTGGAGCTGGGAAGCTGCAGAGTGGGGACCTCGGGGTGCTGGCGATGGATGGGAAGGGGGGGCTGAGCACCAGCTCCATCGCTTCCCATGTTCCTACCTCTGAGCAAAGCCCTCCCCTCCCGTGTGCCCAGTGGCAGGGATGAACCACCTCCGTGAGAACTGCGTGGTGCACAGAGACATCAAACCGGGCAACATCATGCGGCTGCTGGGGGAAGATGGGCAGAGCATCTATAAACTGACCGACTTCGGGGCCGCGCGGGAGCTGGGCGATGATGAGAAGTTTGTGTCTGTCTATGGGACAGAGGAGTACCTGGTGAGCGCAGGGATGGGGCAGCCACGGCTCCTCTGGGCACCCTGTGCCAGCGCCTCAGCACCCTCACAGGGAAGAGCTTCTGCCTCAGAGCTCATCTCCGCCTCCCCTGCAGCACCCGGACGTGTACGAGCGCGCGGTGCTGCGCAAGCCGCAGCAGAAGGTTTACGGCGTCACCGTCGACCTCTGGAGCATCGGCGTCACCTTCTACCATGCTGCCACCGGCAGCCTCCCCTTCGTCCCCTTCGGGGGCTCGCGCTGGAACAAGGAGGCCATGTAGGGACCGCATCGAGCGCGGGGCACCAGGGGCTGCGCTGCGGGGAGCTGGGAGCCTGGCTGGTGACCCTGGGGGCTGCAGGGTGATGTGGCTGTGGCTCGGTGCATGCCAGCAGCACTGCGGGTCCATGGGCTGTAGTTTACAGCTCATTTAATCCCATAGAGCCTCATGTGTAGCCCGTAAGAGTGAGCATGTAAAGGACCCGTGCCCCATTTATCACATTTACCCTCAAAATGCATTCTCATGACTTTGGAGCTGGAAGAGAATCACAGAATCCCAGACTGGTTTGGGGTTGGAAGGGACCTTAAAGCTCATCCAGTTCCAACCCCCTGCCAAAGGCAGGGACCCCTTCCACTAGAGCAGGTTCAGAGAAGTAACCAGGTTGGAAAAGACCTTGAAGATCATCAAGTCCAACTGTTCCCTCTGTGGATGTTGTTCTTTCCCAGCCCATCCATCTCTGCCCTCTCCCTCTCTGCCGAGCCCAAGGGACTCAGAGCCCAAACGGGCACCACTTGGCTCGCTTCAGCTGCAGGCAATTCCCTTCCACAGGTACAAAATAACCTCCGAGAAGCCTCCTGGAGCCATTGCAGGGGTCCAGGGGCAGGAGAACGGGAGCATCGAGTGGAGCTACGAGCTGCCCCTCACCTGCCGCCTCTCCACGTGAGTGCCCCGGCTCGGGTCCCACTGCAGGACCCACGTCCTGGCGCCGCGGCTCGGGGTGCTCACAGCACAGGGGGGGTAACCAGGAACGAGCTTCTCGCCTGCGGGTGTCAGTGCTCTCAGACCAGGCCCTTGCTTTGCAGGCAGGGAAAAGGGATGCGGGGTGGGGGAGCAGCTCTGCCGGAGCTCAGCATCTCTCCCCAGCCCCATGCTCAGTTTATGGCTCAGGGTTATGTGCAGATGTCTCTTGTGCTGCCGCAGGGGCCTGCAGGAGCAGCTGGTTCCCATCCTGGCCAACATCCTGGAGGTGGATCAGAGGAAATGCTGGGGATTCAACCAGTTCTTTGCAGAGACCAATGACATCTTGACCAGGATCGTGGTGGACGTCTTCTGCCTGCCACAGGCTTCCTCCCACCGCATCTACATCCACTCCTACAACACGTAAGGATGCCAAGGCTGGGTTAGGAGTTGAGCTCAGGAGCCTCAGCCCCTTCTTTGTGGGGGAGCCTGGGGGAGCACCCACTTAAACCAGGCTAAACCAGGCTCAGACACAAATGGGACCCATTGCTCTTGGCACACAGAGAGCCCCAGGGAAGTTGCCCAAGGGGCTCTGCTGCCCTTGTGGGCTGTTTTGCTACAAGAAGAGGGCAACAGGCTGTGGAAGTGATGGAAATCTGAGCGCTTCCCTCATTGCTTACACCCCATCCTCTCGTTTCTCCTTGATCTCAGCACCACCAAGTTCTTGGACGCTGTCTTCAAACAAACGAACATAGCCCCTCACCACCAAGAGTACTTTTTTGAAGGGCATCCCTACGAGCTGGATCCGAACCTGCAGGCTCAGAACTTCTGCAGGACCACGGAGCACAGCCCTCTGATCCTGCTGAGCATCGCCGAGCAGCCGGAGGACGTGGTAGGAGTCAGATACAGAGACCGTGAGTACCGGTGGCTTGGAGACGGAGCAGGGCATGCGGGGTGGGTGTGTAAGAGAGATCTGCTTAATTGTTATCTTTATACCCACTAAGGGTATATGTATTTTATATATATGTATGTATATGTATACATAAGGACTCCAATGCACAGCAGGAGGTAGAGGGGTTTGATGCTGGATTAGGGATGCAGGATTAGGGGGTTTCAGGGTCAGTTTTCCCCTGCTATGGGCTGTTGCTCCATGGCCACCCATCACACCGGGCTGTGCGCAATTCCTGCATATGCCCATGGTCTAAAACATCTCTAAGACCCACACTAAGCAGCATCGGAGCTGCTCCCATGCCTGAAACCCCTCGGGGCTGCAGGGTTTGCTTTAGGGGTGTGAGGTGTCCCCGGGGCTCCGGGCTCCATCCACAAAGCCCCTTGACCACATCTCCGCAGCGGCACTCGAGTTCCCGAAGCTGGTCCCCAGGGTGGACGTGGTGGCCGACTGCAGAGCAGCCAAGGTAGGAGGGGGGGTCCCTGGGGCCCCAGGGAGCCCCGGCTGCAGGGCTGCGGATGGAGGCAGTGCCCGTTGCTTTGCAGAGCGCGGTGGGGGCCATGCACCAGACCCTGCGCATCGCCTGCGCCCTGCGGCGCTGCCGGGAGCTGCTGGCCAGGGGCCTGCACTGGGTGATGTGAGTGCTGGGGCCAGCGTGGGGCGGGTGCGGAGGGGGGGACCCGGCCCTTCCCAGGGCATTGATGGGGTTGAAACCACTCCTGGTTTTCCAGCCTGTTCCAAACAGTGCAGGGGCTGGAACTGGGGGAGCTCTGAGGACCCTCCCAACCCAACCCGTGCCATGGCTCTATCTATGTGCATTCCCACTGTCCTGCCCATTCCCTTTGGGGTAGGAGCTTCCTGTGCCCCCCTGCCCAGGAGCTGCACCCAGCTGTGCATGCATCCAGCCCCCCATGTGCACATGAGGAGGCACCAGTTCCATCCTAACCCTGCGCGGCTGGCCCTGGGAGGATGGGCTGTTTCCTCTCTTGGGAAGCACTGGATGCGCTGTTTCCTCTCTTGGGAAGCACTGGATGCGCTGTTTCCTCTCTTGGGAAGCACTGGATGCGCTGTTTCCTCTCTTGGCAGTGGGAACCTGCAAACGGAGTGTGTGAGGGTGCTGGAGCAGAAGAGAGGGGCTCTCTCGGTGCTCTCCTGCCTGCAGCTCACTGAGGTGAAGATCCCCATGCTGTAAGTGTGGCTTTGCAGCCGCAGGGATACAGGCACTGGGCTGTGGGTGCTGCAGATGAGTTATGGGGCTCTCAAAGGTGCCATTCAAGAGGCTGAATGACATTCAATGGGGCTGAATGACATTCAGTGGGGCTGAATGACATTCAATGGGGCTGAATGACATTCAATGGGGCTGAATGACAAGTGGACACCCATTCCCAGCCGTGCTGCCCCAGGAAGAGCTGAACCTGTTTTCTCTAAGCTATCCCATGGTTGTTCTGCATTCCAGTCCTGTTGCAGCAGAACGCTCCTTGCTGCTGGGCTGCTGATTTTTTATTCCTTCCCATTTAGCAAGCCTCTTGATTTCCATCTCATCTAAAAAGATAGGGACACATGGTTCCCATTGACTTCAGCCGGATAACACAGGGCTGGGGTGCCAAGAGCACTGATGCTGCAGCTGGATGCTGCTGCTTATCCATCCCTCCCAACACGGGCTGGAGCAGCCTATTTCTGCTGAGGCAGCACTGCTCAGTGCTCTGCTCTCGTGCCAGCTGCAGGGAGGCAGAGAACACACAACATCTGAGCTGGTGCAAAGCCAGCGGGGATGAAGGGAACAAATTGGGAACAAATTGGGCTCAACAGGGTGAGTTTTCACCGGATCCACGCTTCTGTTGGGGCCCGGATCTGCTGCCCTGGGTGCAGTTATTTGCCCACACAAACCACCCCAGGGACTCGGATGCTGCCTCCACCCCAGGACTGTGCCTCTGTCTCATACCCTGCCTGACGTCCTCCCTTGTCTCCAGGTACGAGGCTGCTCCTGCAGGCAGCGGGGTGCTGGCTCTGAAGGATGTGGCCACGGTGAAGCCAAGGCTGCAGAGGGTGAGCTCTGTGCAGGGGGTGAGCTCCGTGTTGGGCTGGGGAGCATCCAGAGCCAGCCCCAACCTCTCCCCGTCCTCCGCAGGTGGCTGAGGAGCTCTCTCAGTGCTCTCACAGCATCTCTGACTTCCAAGGGGCTCTGGATGGGGTTCTGGCTGAGCTGGTGAAGCAGGGGCAGGAAGCGCACGAAGACAAGAGGTTTGTGGCACCAGCATTGCCCAAATCCCTGCCAAAGCTTTGCAGGATGGAGCAGACATCGCTCCCATTGCAAACAGCTTCTAAGAGCCCTGTGCATGCAGGTGTCACCCATGGAGCCAGGCTGAGGGCCGGGCTGGCCCTCCCCAGGGGCTATTTTCAGCCCTCTGCAGGGGCCTCCCTCCTCCATCCCTGTCCCTCTTCCAGCATCCCGCGGATCCAGTGCCGCCTGGAGGAGATGCAGCTCATCTACAGGCAGTTCAGGAAGGCCAGGACCAGTCCGCGTGAGTCCCCGCACTGAGCCGCTGCAGAACTGGGTCCCTGCGGCTCTTTGTGACCCTGGTCCCAGGGGCTGCTGCCCTGGAGAGCCCTGGAGGGACCTCTGTGGTGTAAAGATGCCCAGGCAGTGGGTGGTGAAGAGCAGAGCCTGTGCTGACTGGGGCTGACTGGGACTGACTGGGACTGACTGGGACTGACTGGGGCTGACTGGGGCTGCCTTCCCTCCCCAGGGCTGAGCTACAACGAGGAGCAAATACACAAGCTGGATAAGTAAGTCCCAGCCCTCTCCCCTTTCTAGGACCTGCCCCATACCGTGGCCAGGCAGATGGGGGGGTTCTGCTCGAGTCCCAGTGGGATGTAAGATGTTTCTGGGTCATTAACACTGAGAGAGGGACTGGGTTTGGTGGTGGGTCATCGATGCAGGACCTTTCATAGCAAAGGCTTTAAGCTAAAAGCTATTTCTGATGAGGAGGTGAGAAAACTCCTGAGCTGGGGTCAGAGTGATGTTGCTGGACCAACTCCCCACACTGGGATGCGGGGATAAGCACATTTCAGGCTATTGCTCACACAATACTTAGTGGCCATGTGTTTGCTGAGATGCTGCTTTGGGAAGTGTCCCTGCTTTCACCTTCCAATGGGAGTCAAGTGTCTGATGGCTTTTGTACCTTTAAAACCCCTCCTTTTGGTTTCCATTTGAAACCAGGGGAATTTAGCACAACCAAGAAGTCAAATGCACACTTCAGTATGTACCAGGGCTGGTGAAAATGAACAGGCAGCTCCTTGAGCGAGCTTAAAGCTTCGATCTCCACTTGGGTGTTTGCCTTAAAGTCCAAGGCAAAGATTCCTCAGGAGTGCCCTTGGGATGGGGATGAGATGTAGGTATAGATTAGATCAGATTAGATTAGAGGTAGATGGTAGGGGTGTTGGAAACTGGTCTTTTCCAACCCAAACCCTTCTGTGATTCTATATAGATACAGACCCACATCAAAATCCATCACTGAGCATCCAGTCCCTCTTTCTCCATTCAGGAGCCAGCTTTAGGTCTCCTGCCGTGTGAATTGTGATGTTCATTTGCATACATTTAAGGCAATACCAGTGTTCTCCCGCTCTTTTTTTGGCTTTTAGGGTGAATTTAGGCCGTTTGGCCGCGAAGGTGCTCTTGATTTTCCAGGATGATTGTGTGGAGCGGTACAAGGAGGCCCTGGCCTTCCATGGCAGCAGCATGAGGTACGAGCCCCAGCCTTCTCCTGAGGTTTGAGGACTCCGGTTTCTGGGCATGGTGGGGATGGGAGCAGGGATACTGCGTTAAGTATTGTCCACAAAGCCCAGGGCTTCCAGAGCACTGAGGTGCAGATGGAGAGGATGATGTTGGTAACTGCTGCAGGACTCCTCTGTGGGTAATAAGACCCTGGTTCTCATCCCATGCCATGTATTCCTGCCCTGTTGTTTGAAGGGATTGATTTTAAAAGCTCCCTCAACTTGCAGCTTGAGTTTAAGCCGCTGGGTTCCTCACTCTCTGATGGGGAGAGGTTATTTTATCAGGTCAAAATTGCCATTGAGACAGAGATCTGCTTGGGAGGAACGGTTTCCTGTTAAAGGGTGCTTGGGGAATAATGCCAAGAGCAAACTGCCTCGCAGAGATCGAGCACAGCCCTCTGCCTATGGCAGCCATGGGCAGTGTGAGGGGAGGCAGGCAGGGGAAGGGCACTGGGTTTCTATTGTCGGGTTGCTCTTAGAGGAGCATCCATTGCCCTGGGCTGCCGGTGTGGGTGTAAGGAGGAGGGGTTTCTGCAGTGCTTTAGAACTGAACCCGGGTTGTTTCCCTGTCTCTGGCACGGAGCAGCCAGGAACTGACTGGGGGGGAATGAGGGTGGAATTTGCCCCCGGTGCTCGGGAATGCCCTGGGAGGAGAGGGCAGCGCCTGCCCAGCCCTGCCCGGGCCCTGCTTTCCCCGTGTTTTGCTGGGGTGTTTTTGTGCCTCCTCCATCCTTGCAGAAGGGGCCCCATGAGTCACCCCTGCCGGCTCCCATTGACTCCTGCAGCCTGTGCTGGCTCCCGCTGGCTTCAGGGCTGTGCTCTGGAGGTGGCTCCATGCACCTGAAATAGCCTTTCCTTTATTACTCCAAGCCAAACCTATTCTGAGCCAGCTGAGCACCCTCCTGCTGCGCGCCCGGCAGGAGCACGTCCCTATCCCCCTCTCCCTAAGTACTTTGCTGCAGAGCCTCACTGCAGCCCTGTTGTGACTCATTTGCTTTCCTCTGGGGCTTTAACTTCAATCAGCAAGGTTTGCAGAACGCAGTAAATTGCATTAAACCACACAGAAATAGAACAGAAATGCAATGTATTCAAGAAATAGGACCATTTATTGTGAGGGTGCTGAGGAGGTCGCACAGGGTGCCCAGAGAAGCTGTGGCTGCCCCATCCCTGGCAGTGCTCAAGGCCAGGTTGGACACAGGGGCTTGGAGCAAGCTGCTCCAGTGGAAGGGGTCCCTGTCTATGGCAGGGTTTGGGGCTGGAGGAGCTTTAAGGCCCCTTCCAACCCAAACCATTCCATGATTCCATAAGGATCCCCACTGGGGATTTTGTTGTTGTTTCTAGGAAAGTCTGTGAGATAAAGAAGCATCTGAAGAGGCTCAGCAACCGCATCAGCGCCTGCAGCGTGGAGATGACGCAGTGCCAGGACCGCCTGCAGAGCGTAAGTGCCCATGGGGGGGGTCCACACCCTGCCCACCCTGTGCATGAGCACGTGCGTTAAGCAGGGAACCCCAGGGTGCTCCTGAGCAGCTTGCTGCAGTGCTTGTTGGGGATCCACACTGGAGACCTTCCCTATCTGAGCAAGGACTGGGAAGAGCTTTGGCAGCAGCACCGCTGGTCCTGAGCACTGCCTGAGCGGGGCCCAGCACTGCAGCCCTGGGTCAGACCCCCTGCCTCGGGGGCTGCTGAGCCTCTCCCTTCCTGCAGGCTCTGGAGAGGTTTCTCCAGGCTGAGCAGCAGAGCTTGGCCCCGGCTCCTCCTGCTCCTTCCCCTGTCCCTGGGAGCCAGGCACACCAGGACATGGCTTTCCAGTGAGTTGGGGTCCTGCCGTGGGGTGCTCCCGCTGCCGGAGCTGCTCCCATAGGGAATGGGAGGCTGAGCAGCACCGGGTAAGGGGTGGTTGTGTCCCCGGCAGGATGCAGGAGCTCCTGGAGCAGATGAGGTCAGTAACTTGTGATCTCCAGCTCAACAACAGCATCATCGAGCGGTGAGTAAGAGTGCGCAGGGATGCTGCTCCTGCCCCTAGCACCAGCATGGGGCGGTGGGACCGGATGGGCTCCATGGGGATCCATGAAGGGTTCCAGCATGGGGAGCACAACCACAGGTTCTGTTCCTGCAGGTTACGTGGGGCTGCCCCAGCTCCTGGTGTTTGAGACGTGGGGAACTTGCAGCTGCTGAAGCCAACAGCAGCGAACACTCACAGCACTTTGGGTCCAGGGCGATGGGGACGGCTGATGTTCATGTTGGAGGAGCTCTCTGTCTCCTACCTCTCCCCTCCAGCACTTTTGCACCATTGACCAGCATCAGCTTTGAGTGGCTTGAACACCCTGAACCTTTGAAAGTTTGACCAGAAAATAAGATGTTTTGGGTTTTTTTCCTTTTTAAAAGTGCTTGATGACTTAATGTTCTTCCAGCTTCCCTGCATCGCCATGCCTGGTGGTGAAGAGGAAGAGGCTGAACAGCTGAATTCTCTTTTGCCATCCTGTTATGGGATTGCTCCCACTTTTAGCATACTTCTGGTCCCTGGAGTGGGCATGAGGGATGCTGGGCCTGATGGATGAGAGACTGGATCGAGCCCAGGACAGCTCCAGCACTGGGAAGGTGGGAGCCACAGACCTCAGCCCGCTGGTGCTGCCACCTCTCCTCCCATTCCCCCTTGGGTTTGGGAATAGGAAGCCAAGGGAGGATTCTCTTTGGGGTATGTTTTATCCATGTAACCGAGCCCTGTGTGGATGCATGTTGTCTCCCTGCACTGAAACCCTGGCTCCAGCCAGCGAACCTGGGGGTGCTACTGAGTGCCAAGGCACAATCCCAGACGAAGGGGCTCCCACATTCCCCTCTCCAAGGCGAGGGAAAGCAGGGATGCTCCTTTTTACTTTAGGTTAAAGGGGAGTAAGCAGCCACCCCTGCCATTAACACAAGGTGAAAGGATGGATTTATCTGTTTCTTGACCTTGGGTTTCATGAGGAACCATAACTGAGTCATGACCATGTGCAGCAGTGATACAGGAAGTCTGGGATTGCGGGAGCATGAGGAGCAGAGGGTATCAAGGAGCTCTTTGTGGGCAGAGTCGGACACGCATCCTCTCCATCACCTCTTCCTGCCTGTCCCCAGCGTGACTGATGGGTTGTCATCCCAATCCCACAATCCACATCCCGTAGAGCCACAGAGGGGAGCAGCGTTCCCAGGCAGCAGCCAAAGCCAGGCAGGGACGTAACTCCCTCCCAGGCAGGCTCAGGTAGGGGTATTTACACCTTGGGGGCTCCTGGCACAAGGATGGGCTCTTCCCACCCCTCCTTGGCACGCACCAGGGCAGAGACACAGATCTCACAAGGGCCTGCAGGGACAGGCCAAGGGAATGGCTTGAACCTGCCCGAGGGGAGCCTGAGCTGAGCTCTTGGGCAGAAGTCACCCTGAGGGCTGAGGTTAAAGGAGGCTGGAGCAGGGACCAGGAAACAAGGGCACCAGCAAAGTCCAAGGCTCACTGCACCTCCCGGGGCTGCATCGTGTGTCTGGAAGCAGAGGCTGAGCCCTCCTCTGGGCAAGCCAATGCGCCTGACTCAACAGCAGTGGGGATGCTGAGGGTGCCTGCCTGGACCTGCCCCTCCATAGAGAGCACCGCTCCCGGCTCTGCCCTTCACCTTTCCTCCCGTTCCCTCGCCTGCCTCTTTGCTGGGGTGACACACATCAGCTAAAGCAGGAGCCTCCAGCCGAGCCTGGGCCTGCCCTGCCCATGCTGCTTGCCCAGAGGCACCCCCAGCACCTCACCTGCAGAGGACAGGGCAAGGGGGTGCCTGCTGTGGGTGCTCCTCACCTTCCCCATGGCAGGAGTTAGGTCCAGCCTCTGCAGGGAGACCTGCGGGTGCATGAGGCAAAGCAGCGCAGCCCTGGGGCTGAGCATCGTGCTCTGCGTTCAGCACGGAAGCAAACCGGAGCAGGAGCAGCAGCCCCAGGGCTGTGCCTGGCTTTTCCTGCCTGTCAGAACAGGCCAAGCACGCCCAGGAAACCTTCCCGAGTGGAATTTGGCACCAAACTTCCCCATCCATTTTAACTGTAAAACCCAGCATCCTGACTGTCAAACCCAGCCGCTTGCAGCAGCAGGGGTGGAACGAAGCCATCCCTTAAAAGCTTTTCTCCCACATATTCTTTTCTAGGATTCTCCTCGTTTTCCAAGGAACATTAGTTTTAATCCAGCTCGAATTCACTGACATCCCCTGTTGGAACAGGGCAGGGAGCCCAGGCAGGGTGTCCTGCCACGCTCCCTTGGATTCAGTGGAGCTGCACTGATTCATACCAGCTGAGAGCTGGACCTGGGACACGTTTGGCTTTGGTAAAGAGGGATTTATTTCTTGGCAGAAGGAAAAGAGAGGTTTTGCTAATAGCCCTTGTCATGCTTCAACTGCTGTAACAGCAGCTGCAAAGGGGACTCCCGGAATCCAAATGAAACAGGAGCTTTCCTGCCAATGGTAATTAGGGATTTTTTCCCAGCTTACTTTAACCCTTGGCCTGAAAGAGCTTCCAATGGTGTCAGCCCTGAATGCCTGCAGAGGCAGCTGAGGATATCGACTGCCACATCCCCATCCCATGTGAGCCCAAGCATCCGATGTGGGCAGAGGGTACTGCATTTATTTGCACTGGAAGCCAAGGTCTGCAGCTTTCACAGCTGGGATGGCCCTGGAAGAGCAAACAGCCAGGAGTCTTTAGCAGGTTCCCAGGCAGATGCCAGGTAGATCTGTGCCCTCAGAAACACCATTTGCTTCCTTGCAGGTGATTCCTTACACAATGAACGCTCCATGGAGAGCACAGGATTAAATCCCAGTCTGGGGGGAACAATTTCCCTTCCCTGGGAATAAATCTGCTGCTGCTCTCAGGCCCGAGCAGAGGATGTGTGAAAGTGAATCAGGATCCTGAATGGGGAAGAAAAAGACGCTCCCTGAATGAATCTTGCTACTTAGCACGGAACAAAACTAGGATTTTCCAAGCTGTGTTATTCCTCTTTTGGTTTGAAGCTTTTATTAGGGACTGCTTATGGCATTAGTCCTTTGTAACTCAGAGCCAGTGTTTTAATCCAGGCTTCAAATTAGAAGCCTTGAAAAGGATTTAGACATCCTTGGCTTATCCTGTCCTCAAGAATCCATGAGTGACATCAAACTCTGCTTCCCATGAGCCCAGAAGCCGGGATGCACACAGCTCCATCTAGATGTAGGGAAAGGGGAAAATGTAATGAGGAAGAGTTTCTTCTTACTGTTCACAGCACAGATTTCCTCACCATGCAGAATATACTGTTCTGTATCTTTTTCAGTCCATTTGTGCATCACTCCTTTCATGTGTACATCTCAAATTGCATCAGATACATCCTTGTGAAGATGCACCTCATCAAACTCAATGCTGTGAGCTTGACCATAGCAGAAGCTTGTGCCTCTCCCAGCCAGGTGGAAGGTGTAATGATGACGGGGGACGCCCATACCCTTATGTTCAAAGGAGGAGGGAGTCACTTGGTAATCAGTGCATCGCGGTAGCAGAGGACCACCAGGTCCAGCCACCCCCAAAAGCTCCTTTGCCCAGGGGAGAGGTTTGCAAAGCAGCGCTGGAGCCTGCTCGGAGCCGCTTCAGGACGTGGCCATCACGTTTTCCCTTTCGCATTTCCCACAACCACAGGAGCCTCATCAGGGAGCGATAATTGCTTCGGCTCCTCCGCCCCCAGCATCGCCCCGGGGAAAGGCGCTTCGGGCGGGTGGGGTGGGAGCGATGATGGGGCGGGATGGAGCCGACGCTGCAGGAAGCCCGGCGGGGATGTGCGCACTGCTCCGGGTGCAGAGCGGGGGGATCCCTGTGGGGAGAGGTCCCTGGAAGGGCGGGGATTCCCACGGGGGTGGGAATTGCGGGGCGGGGAACCCCACGGGAAGGGTCTCGGGGGGGTGAAGGGGGTGACAACAGCGATGGGCTCCATGGGGCGGGGTCTCCGTGTTTTGGGGGGGCTCCACGGGAGGGGTTCCCCCGGCAGGGCCGGTCCCGGTCCCCACGCTCCCCCCCCCCCGGTGTCTCCTCCCCCCGGGCCGGTCCCAGGCGCCTGCGCTGCGTTCCCGTGGCGTGGCCGGTCCCGGGGCCGTGCCCCCTCCCGCCCTCCCTCTCTCCGCGCCCGCTTCCATGCGCCGGCTGCCGCCCGGCCCCGCCACGGTGATGGGCGGCCGGTCCCCGGGGAGCCCCGGCGGGGCCAGGGCTGCTCGGCGGCGGCTGCGGCGGCGCAGCGGAACCCCGCGGCTGCTGCCCGACGTGCGGAGCATCTTCGCGGCACCGCGGGAGCCGGCGGAACGCGGCCGCGGACACCGCTTCGCCCCTCGGCCCCCGCGCCGCGGCTGGTGCGACCTGTGCGGGGAGGCGGTGCGGGAGCGAGCCCTGCGCTGCGAATGTGAGTGCTGCCCGCGCCCTGCCCGCACCCCTGCCCTGCCCGCTGCCCCCCGCACTGCAGCCCCTACCCGCACCCTGCCCGGGCTCTTCCTCCCGCAGCGGCAGCGCTGGACCCGCTCTTCCTCCCCCCGCTTTGCCCCGGGTCCCCAAAGCCCCGCTGCAGGGACCTGCCGGGAAGGGCTCCCCCGCACCGGGATCCGGGGGGGGGGGGGATCCCCGTCCCCCTGGATGAAGGGATCTGTCCGGAGCCTCCCGCAAAGGGGGCGCGGACCCCGCCTGCGGTGAAGCGATGCGGGGTGGGTTCGGGAAACGAAGTGTTGGCAGGAAATGGGAGATTATCACGTCCAAGGCGAGGCTGGCACCAGCAGGACTCGGTGAGCAGGAGGAATTCGTGTTTGTGAAGCTCTACGGTGAGGTGTAAATTCCTGTAGAAGCAGCAAATTTGTCACACACTTCCCTTTGCCTAAACCATCGGGTAAGGGGGCTCATGCCGGTGGGGTTCACCAGGGTGCATGCGCTCACGTTTGCCACATGCTTGTGTTCTGCAAGGGAGATTAATCCTTCCATCACATGGGAGAGGACACAGAGGGGCTGAACGAGGCCACGGGCCTCGGCAGGGTCCTTGGCAAGGTGTGACCTGCATCGGTCATTGATGGTGAAGCGAGGAGGCCGTGGTGTGCCGGGGCAGAACCTGTGTCACAGAGAACTCGGTAGCGTGTGCTCGCTGCTGACAGTGCTGGCACTGGTGCTGGTGGTTATTTGGGGCAAGGAGTGAGCCGCGTCCTGCCCCAGGGTTTTGGGCTCCCTGCCCGGCCAGCAGCTCCGGAGGAGGCTTCATTGCTCAGTTGCTGGTTTGCTCGGGGGATGATGCCATGCGCTGTAACCCCAGCCTCACCGGGGCAATCAGTCCCTCGCCCAGCCCGTTGTGGTTCTTCCGCTTGGCTTTCCTTAGCTCATGAATCAATTCGGTGTTTCTAG